AGTCTAATTTGTACTTTTCCTTTTCATCACAGATCACATTTTCTTTCCCAGGCTTTAGTTTTATTTTAGGCCTGGTAACTAATGGTTGGCTATCCAATCATGAAAATTTAATTGGCATTTTATCATATTGACTAATGTATTGCAGAACAGAAATTGTTATTTCCAGGTTACTGGTATATTTGGCTTCTTTTTGGTCTTATTTTTAAAAAATGTTAGATAAGATCACTGAAACATTAGTTTAGGCCTAACTCTCCATGGATGAAGGGATAATTCTGGAATATTCTTTATGTCCTGCATATTAAGAGATTTTTCACTCTGACTGGGGGTAAACTGGAATCAATAGCCCAGGGCTCAGTGCTTTCTGGTGCTCTTTTCCCAGCCTCCTTATATGCCTATGCTGATCAGTAGTCAATGGTCCCTAAGCAATTGTCTACTGTTATTTGTGTAGCCTTCCTCCATGAGGTGGTTCAGGAGGAAACCTGGAGAAAGTGTAATTCAGTTACCAGTGAGTCCACAATTGCCCTCGAAATGGAAGCAGATAGGATCACTGCACTCCTTTTAAAAAAAAATCTTAGTCAATAGTCATCGACACATACTATATACCACCAGATACTAACTTACATAGAACCCAGAGTAATAAAAAACACAACAGATCAGTGGATCATGAAAATGTGGTATATATACACAATGGAATATTACGCAGCTATAAGGAATGATATCATGCAATACGCTGCAACACAGATTGGAACTGGAAGATATGTTAAATGAAGTAAACCAGAAGAAGAGACAAATGCAGGTTGGTATCACTTATATGTGGTACTTGGAGTAACTAAATGAGAAAATGCAGTGGTTTAAGGGGAGAAGGCATACTTTACTCTTGGCCCCAGAGTATAGGAAGGAGAAGCAAAGAAATAGAATGAAGAGGGAGGGGAGAAGATAAAAATAAGAAGCAATGGGGGAAGGGTCTAGGGGATCCAGGTACACTGTAATGTTAAGGAAAAGTAGAGGGGGCTGGAGTAATAGTACAGCGGGTTTGGATGTTTGTTTTGCATGCGGCCGGCCCGAGTTCAATCACCTGCATCCCATTTGGTCTTCCAAGCACTGCCAGGAGTAATTCCTCAGTTCAGAGCCAGGAGTAACCCCTGAGCATCGCTGGGTGTGATGAAAGAAAGAAAGAAAGAAAGAAAGAAAGAAAGAAAGAAAGAAAGAAAGAAAGAAAGAAAGAAAGAAAGAAAGGAAGGAAGGAAGGAAAGAAAGGAGGAGGGAGGGAAGGAGGAGGAGGGAGGGAGGGAGGGAGGGAGGAACTAAGGAAGGAAGGAAGGAAGGAAGGAAGGAAGGAAGGAAGGAAGGAAGGGAGGGAGGGAGGGAGGAAGGAAGGGAGGGTAGAGCTAAATACCAAAGCAGAGAGTCAACAACACTGAAACTGCAAGACCCAACTTCAATAACCAAATGTAAAAGGTGCTTTTTAAGATGGTAGGCTAGGGCTGGGGGTGAGGGAGCAGAGGTAGGAGAGGGAATTTGGGAACACTGGTGGAGAGAAGTTGACACTGGTGATAGGATTGGTGATAGAACACTGTACGTCAAAAAGCCAACTATGACTAACTTTGTAATTCACAGTGCTTTAATAAAATCAGAATTTGAAAACAAAACCCCAAACCACCCAAAAAATAACACATGCAAGAATGGCATAACAAAGTGAAGAGAATAATTCCATAGGAACAAGAGTTGGTCTTTCTGGAGATGGAATTTCTCTACTTGTTTCTAAAGTACAAGTAGGAATTTGTTATACATGGTCAAATGCAAAATAGGTGCAGACTTGGTAAGGAGAGACTTTATTTGAAAGTATTATTTCAAAGGCAGCAGGAGGAGGGTGTGAGCAATTCTTCCAGTAGGGAAAATGGAAAACAAGCTTGGCCTTGAGATCTGTGAGTGCCTCAAGGGCTGGACAAGCTTTTTCCTAGTTTATAAAGAGAAAACAAACAGGGCGTCATGAGGTGGATGGTTGGAATGGCATGGTCAAAGAAGCTTGATGTGAAATCTGTTTTCAGGAGAGGTTCTGGGAGGAAGGCGTGTCAAAGCTCTGGGGTCAGGGTGTTAGCACCAAAGTAGCTTTTCTTGCACTTGTGGGTTATTGAGAACTGTATGAAAGATTTTAATACAAAAACTGGCAGGTTAATAAGTTCGAGTTTATTGTACACTAAAAGTATATGGGTCAGGGTCCCTTCCCAAATGTCCAGGCCTCTCCTTTACCTGTGGATGTCACTCTTGTCCCTGGCACTGCCCCATCCAGAGTACTACTTCCTGTTCCTGTCCCAATTTACTCGGCTCTACTATCCAATGATTGGTTTCCATTTCTGAGTCGCTCTCTATCCCGTTTACCTTTCCTCATCTGAAATGGTGTCCCTGGGCCTTTCTCTGACTGTATCCCAATGGTTTCTTTGGTCTCCACCCCGTCGCCCCATACTTGCACTGGGCCTGTTGCTGGGCCTCTTTCAAGTCATACCCCAGCAGTTCCTAGTCTCCTGGTGCATGAGGGTGAGACTTCTGGGCTCAGTATCCGTCCTTGTCTGATTATGCCACCTATCCAGGCGTGCAAGAGCCATACCTGATCCTGCACTCTGCCTGGGCTCAGAGTATGGAAAGAGGGTGGGGATGGGGCCTCCTTCTATCTGATGCCATCTCTCATCTTTAGCCATTCCATTTTCTATTTTTTTTTCTTTTTTTGCTTTTTGGGTCACACCCAGCGATGCACAGGGGTAAGTTACTCCTGGCTCTGTGCTCAGGAATTACCCCTGGAGTGCTCAGGGGACCATATGGGGATGCTGGGAATCGAACCTGGGTTGGCCGCGTGTAAGGCAAACGCCCTACCCACTATGCTATTGCTCCAGCCCCCTCCATTTTCTATTTTGATTGACTACTTGTTGATGGACAAGATTTAAAGCAACAGACTAAATTCACTTGGGGCTCCATCCTTCCACTTGTGTAGTATCAGGGGGAAGAAGAATCTTTCTCTTTTGGTTTCTGAGCCCCACCCAGCTGTGCTCAGGCCACACTCCTGGCTCTACTCTCAGGGATCACTCCTAGAGGGCTTGAGGGACCATATAGGTTGCTAGGGATTGAACCCAGGTCGACCTTGTGCAAGGAATGTGCTCTACCCACTGTATACTCTTGCTCCAGCCCAGGAAAGAGACAATCACTTTGTTGAGGGCTGAGGATGTGGCTCAACAGTTCTTGAAGGCCTGAAATTGCCAAGTTTGAATCCCAGCACCATCCCACTTCACCAAAATGATTCCAATAAAAAAATGAGATGAGAGAAGAGAACAAAGGGGAATGCCCTGCCACAGAGGCAGGGTGGGATGGGGAGGATGGGGGGTGGGAGGGATACTGGGATCCGTGGTGGTGGGAAATGGGCACTGGTGGAGGGATGGGTATTTGAAAAAAATAAATAAATAAAAGAGATGATAAAAGTAGTGACAGTTGTAACAAACTTGAGACACCGGAGTTCCAGCACACTGGGCTGTGAGCTCACAGGCCACAAGGATGTGTGTCTGAGCACAGGCCTTAGTAGGTCTCAGTCTGGTTTAGGGGAATTTCTGGGATTTGCAAAGAGAAGCTTGCTCTCTGTCAGCACCAACTGTGGCCAGGGGATGACTGTGGCACCCAAAAGGTTGGCAAAGATCCTGGGAAAATTGTTCTTGCATCAAACTCCTGACAAAAGGGCCAGTCTCCTCTCTAGTCTCAGTCTGTGACAGTGTTGCAAAGGAGCCATGAAGGTGCGCTGGCAGCTAGGACACAGGAAGTGCAGCGCTGGGTTGGAGTGCAGGGGATGCGAAGGGATTCCAAATTTAGCAGCCTTGTTTAGCACTGGCATCAACACTCCCCAGGTGTGAGCACTGCTGCCTTTTAGAATGAGCTTCTTCTGCCTCAGAATAACAAGTTCTTTGCAACCTATGCCTGCGGGTGTCTTTCATTGATGGAATTATCTTGCTTGCCTGACTCTTCCTTAACACGTTTTCTTTCAAACCAGGAATAAAGGTGGTGGGGGGGAGGGGGGGGCGGGTGTCTGGAGACTCTTTTTTTAAAGCATAAAGGTACTATGAAAAGCACCCTAGGGTGCAATCCTGCTCTGAGCGGAGGCACCTAGACTCACAGCAGTATGCATGTTTATCTTTAGAGGAGAAATATGACTATTCTGTCCGAGATTAGCGGTTAGAGCAGGGTGCACTCTGGCTTCTGGAGGTGCTGGGCTTCAGGTGACCTAGGAAAGCCATATAGTGTGGGTATGTGCCTGGATCCACCTGCAGAGAACAGGGGCAGGAAACACAGCAAACTGTTCTGGTGGACTAACCCCTCCCAACCCTGCCCCTGCCACCTCCCCCCGCCTTCCCATTGCTCTAATAGTCTCCCCACCCCCCACCCCACACCCAGCCAACACTTCAGCACTAAGTGCCAACTCTCCTCTAACTTGCTGTATTTCTCCGAGAGCTCCCCAGAACAGGCCAGAGGCATAATTCTGTGCCTCCTACAAAGTGGGGCCTTGCCTAGGGTATGTCATTCAGACACATATGCCTGGAACAAGGCATAAGAACATGTAGAATGGTGGAGATTCATTAAATGCTTTCATATTTGTTTATTCAGATGAAGAGTGATAAATACATCTTAAATATTACAAAATGTAAAAAATTTAGTTACATCCCAGAAGACCCAGGGGCCATGTGGGTTGCCATGGTGTGAAGCTGGGTCAGCTCCGTGCAAGGCAAGTGCCCAACTCATTGTGTCTCTCTGACCCCAAATATCACAAACGTTCATATACTGAAATGACAGTCAACAAATCTGAGAAGTTTGATCTGCCAAAAAAAAAAAAAAAACAGTCCCTCCACATTTAAAACACATAAAGACAAAAGTTCTTAATGTGCTTTCCTCAACCCAGAATAGGTACTGAATCTAGACCAATTTGGTCAACAGCAGAGGAAAGAATGTGGATATACTAAGTACACAATAGAGAGAAAATCCATTGCCAGCGGTGGCCCCCAGTCCACAGTCTTCACTGCGGAGACCCTGAGCATCATTTCCTGAAGCGCTTGAAAAGTGGGTGCACGTGCTTAGTAGAAGCTTTGTTCCGTGAGGCGTGGTATTCCATGTACACGGTGTCGTCAGCCCCTGACATGGAGCTCATTGTGCCAAAGCGCCGAGACACCTGCAGGGACCCAATCCAGTGTTAGTCTCCAGGGGAAGGACATGCCTTTCATAATCATAATTAGCTAATAAAATGTGTCAATATATTACAAGTAACCATTTACTAACCAGTATGTTTCAAACATTGTTCTGAGCAGAATATACATGCTCTGACTTTTCAAATGCAGTCATAAACTATCTTTTTTTTTTTTTTTGCGGGAAGTGTTTTGGGAGGGGTAGGGCTACCCCAATATTGAAGCCAGCAAGGCTACACCCAGAGGTACTCAGGAGGTCATGTGAGGCTGGGGATCAAACCTGAGCACACGTGTGTCTGAAAAGCCTGCACTACAGCCCTTTCGGCAATCTCTCTGGCTCCACAATCCCATCATACAGAAGCAGAAACTGAGACAAGAGATGAAGGATATTGCCCAAGACCACAATTCTTCGGAGAGAAGAATTTTGAGGCCAGGTGACTAGGCTTCAGAATTTTGTCCCTTTATCATGGTGCTTACACACAACTGGTGCAGCTGTAAATTGTGTGTGGCACTAGGATCAAGAGCTACCAGGACCACACATGGATTCGTATCACATGTGCCCACAAGGCGGGTATTCAAGTCTCTGCACTAGTCCTCTTGACTCAGATACTATTTTCACAATGGTACCTTGCCTCACCAACAATTTCTGAACCAAATTTTTAACAGATTTTTCAAAATCTCAGGAGAATCCATTATAGACCTTAAATCAAGTAAGTACAGCTAGAAAGCCCAGTATTTCAATGTTGAATCTATCCTTCACTGGGTGACCTGGGCAAATACTCTGAACCTTCATCTCAATGAACTCATTTGTAAAATGGGAATAGCTACATTTGCATCAGCATATATAGAAATCACCCCCCCCCCCCCCCCCCGCAGCCCCAGACCCCATGCTTGGCACTCCACCAACATCAAGTCCCACGGATGTATGAAAAAGGGAGTGAAGCAGGACCCCAGAAGCCTGGCCTGGAATGACACTTGGAGAGGGAATGGTCAGACATGGCCTGAGATGCAGTGCAGGAAACTTCCCAGAGATCAGCCCCCATTTGGGGGAGAGATCTGAGAGAGAAGGAATAGCAGCACCTCCCCATAATGCTCTTTATTTCTTTTTCTGTTCTAGACACTACGTATCTTTTGGCTTTGGTACTTACTTTGCTTCTGTGGAACCTGACTAAATTCTATTTCTCTCCTAGGAAGGACCTGGTACAAGTGCCCATAACACTTTCTTTAATTATCCCATGTAATAATGCTCGGGCTGAAGCGATAGCACAGCGGTAGGGCGTTTGCCTTGCACGCAGCCAACATGGCCGACCCGAGTTCGATTCCTCCGCCCCTCTCGGAGAGCCCGGCAAGCTACCGAGAGTATCTCGCCCGCACGGCAGGGCCTGGCAAGCTCCCCGTGACGTATTTGATATGCCAGACACAGTAACAACAAAGTCTCCAATGGAGACGTTACTGGGCCCGCTCGAGCAAATACCTCTAGATAAACCTAAATTGAGAGGGTGGGTGGGCGCAGAAAACGACTTGTCTTACAGCCGCCCCAAGATAAGCTTCTTAATCAAATTCACCTGCTTATTCAAACTCCCGCCTCTCAGGCTGGAGCGGCCTTTTCCTCCATCCTTCCCTGCCTTACTGCATAAGGCCAAGGTCAGATTATTCTTGGGGAGCTCTCAGGCTGCAACCCAACACTGGCACACAGTAGGCATCCAGTAAACCGTTGCAAAACCAAAAGTCGAATATTTACAAATAACTTCAGTTTGTGAGAAAAGTTTACAAGTATACCCCGAGCTTATCCTCATTCCCACCTCACAGGCTTAAGAAGAGCCATTATGGCCGAGGCCCTCATGGTCCTGTCCGCCCCCTGCCCTTCTCTCGCTTCCTGGGTTTCCCACACTGAAGGCACAGAAGAACAGACACACAGACTCCGGGAAATGGGATCGCGTGCTCTTCAGAACTCACACTGGAATCTTGCACTCACTCACCTGGCTGGACTTAGAGCCAAATTCTCCCGCCACCACCTCTTCTTCAGCATCCAGGTCTGTGGCAGCCAGGACTTTCTGAAGGAGCTGCTGCTGTTCTTCTTTCGTTGAATATGCTAAGTCTTCTTCTTCCATGCCCGCAAGCTTCGTGATCACCTGCAAAGCCCACACTCTTTGGCTTCTCTCCCTTGGCCCTACTCTGCCTTCTTCTGTGTAGGCCAGTTCCAATCACTGCCTTCCCATCATGCCCAGCAGAACTAATGGCTGACCATGGGAAGCTCCTCTTGGGCAATCCAGAGACCATGTATCGGCACCCAATTGACCAGGGAGCCTATCTAAGAACTCTAAGGCAAAAGATGTTGCGAAAACCTCAAAGAAATGTGCTCCCCACACAGAGCAGTGAAATGGTCACTATCAGAATGGTAATCTTGGTGACTAAAAACATCCACTCTGGTAGCTTCTGTCATCTTGCACCAGGTAAAGAAAGGGACCAAAGGCCGAGGGCACAGCCTGCTGCCCTTCCAGGGGGCATTCAGTCCCAGTAGAGGCCCGGATGTACAGAATGGATTTATAGGTTTTTAGAACAGCAAGATAAAATATAATGAAGATTTCATTTTCATTTCGTAATTGACTGAAAGGCATAGATCTCCACTGAGAGTCTGAGTTGATTATGTAAAGGAAATTTTCTTCCTCTAACTCTTCTCAAAATCTGTATTAGAGGCAATTCCTGGCAGTGTGGAAGCGGCTGAATACTCAGTAGCCAGAGATCACGGTACAGTAGTGCCCAGCCTGGTCACCTTCTACAGTGCCTGGTCATCACTCTGAGGACTCTGAGGAAAGACTAGGAAGGCCAAGGCGGCTCCACCAAGTAGACACGGACCCATGTAGGTGCTGCTCTGCAGAGTTTCCTTTTCATAGGCCCCAGAGCACTTCATGGTTCATTGCTTCTCTTACCCTTGTAACGCTTTCAAAACACAGGAGGCTGGACACAGAACGCAACAGACATGGGGGAGGGGGGAGGACAGGACGGGATTATGGGGCAAAGAAGGGTCCCAGAGGAGTTAGGGGCTAATCCTGGATCTGTGATTGGGTGTGCTCCCCACAGTGCTCTGGAGAACCTTATAGTGCCCCAGTAGTCTCTCTCCAGCCCTAGCTCACCCATTTTTTACAGACAGATGAAAAAAGATCACAATGCAAATTCTTCAAAAAATCTGAACTTTGGAGCTGGAGAAAAAGTATAGCGGGTAGGGTGCTTGACTCGCATGCAGTCAAACTGGGTTTAATCCCCAGCACCCCCCATATGGTTCCCTCCTCCCCCTCCCCCTCCCCGAGTCTGCCAGGAATGATTCCTGAGCACAGAGCCAGGAGTAACCCCCAAGCACAGCCAAGTTTGGCCCCAGAGCAAAATCAAGTAAGCAAAAAATAGATAAATAAGTAAATAAATAGAAATTTGAGCCTAGCTTGAGACTCTGAGAAGTGTCCCCACCTCTGGCTAAAGATAAAAAGGTCAGGAAACTCGGTCTGATAATAGCAAGGCTGATAACAGGACTCTTGGTGTGTGTAATAAGATACGATCAAAGAATCTGAAGATGCGAACCTACAGTCCTGCAAATCACGAATCAGGAGCCTCTCCTCTATTGTTCCCGTGCTGCTCTATTAGTCCCCCACTTCTGGCACATCGCTCCCAAAAAAGCCTGGGACTAAATCCCAACAACACATAGGAAAGAGAGTAAATGCCCCAGACAATGGAATTTAACCCAAAGCTTTAAGAATTTCCTGATAGAATGACTGCATTCCTTTGTGGTACATAAAAAATATATAGAGTAGAAGAAGAATATCCATGGCCAGGGAAAACAGGGGCTAGGAGGGCTGGTGAATGGTTGAAACTAACTACAATCGTGTGTGGGGCTGAGGGTAGGTAAGATAGAAAAGAGACCACTATAACAATAATAGCTGGGAATGATCATGCTGGACAAGATCTGAGAGTTAAAAGTAGGTAAGAGAGGGCCCCCATGAGCGGCTCTCCGGCACGGCCATGGTCACCGAGGCACACAGACCTAATTTAGAACCCAGCAGCTTCTGGCAGAAAGGTAAATGGACTATGTATTAAGCGATGGTGCTGTGTCCCCCCCACCCCCCCCGGGAGGGAAAGGGTGTCCGTCTCTTCCACCATTCCCCCTCCGCTCCCTCCGGTGTCATGGCAGCCACCGCCTCAGAGCTTATTGGACAGCCAGGTATGAGTGGCGGTGACGGGGCCACTGCAGCCTCAAGGGATGGGGTGCGTCCTTCTTGCCCTGCCAAGACCACGAGCTGCCCCCCACGAGGAGCTCTCCGGCATGGCCATGGCCCCAGAGGCACATAAACCAATCTCGGAACTATTTGGCTTTTGGCAGAAATCCCTCCAGACTAAATTAGTAAAATATCAGAAATCCAAAATCATATGGTCTTCATAACCAGCAATAGAAAACAATGCCTTTTCAGCAGGTTTGATTGTTGGGGAAAAATTCCAAATAAAGTGGTACGTCTTTTGTCGAAATAATGAATGTAATCTAAGTACAGGGAGAGTTAAGTGGAAATCATCTGCCTCACAGGCAAGGGGAAGGGTGGCATGAGGGGGTATACTGGGGTTCTTGGTGGTGGAAAATATGCAATAGTGAAGGGATGGGTGTTTGATCTGTGTATGACCGAGACTTAAACCTGAAAGCTTTTTAACTGTTCTCACTGTGATTCAATAAATAAATTAAAAAAAATTGTAGGTAAGGGATATTCTTGATAACCTTTCAATATCAATATTGCAAACCACAATGCCCAAAAGGATGTGTGTGTGTGTGTGTGCGCACACACACACAAATAGAGAGAGGGAGAGGGAGAGTAAGAGGAAGAAGGAGAGGGAGTGGGAGAGGGAAAGGGAGAAAGGAAAAGCGCCAGCCATAGAGGCAGGTAGGGGGTGGGGGGTGGGAGGTGATGGGAGGAAACTTGGGAACACTGACAGTGGGAAATGTACACTGGTGGAGATGGGTGTTGGAATACTGTATGACTGAATCCCAATCATGAATGGCTTTGTAATGGCCTATCCCACAGTGATTCAATAAAAAAGTCAAAAACAAAAAGAATTTCCCCGAGTTATTCAAATATATGACTTGCAGCACACAGAGAGCTCTGACATATGTGAGGCCCACTGAGGTGCACCAGCTAAGGAAGGGTTCTCCTAACCTGGAGTCAGCACCCCTTAGAAAGCAAGTCTGGGGGAATCAGGCCAACACAGTGATGGTCACTGCTCCTTGGCATGTCAAGTCCTGCCAAATCTGCACATTTCCCCATCAGCATCTGTTGACATAAAAAGTCAACAAGGTGACCAGAGCAATGGTCCAGAGAGCAGGATGATTGAATTGCACACAGTCCATCTGGGTCGAATTTCTAGCCCTCCACCCCCCACCCCCCACAACCCTGTGGTCCTCTAAGGCTCACCAGGAGTGATCCCTGAGCAGAGAGGCAGGAGTAGGCCTTGAGCACCGCCAGGTGTGGCTCAAAAACAAACAAACATTACTTGCCCTAAGGTTCCATTCTTTGACCACCCATTGTGCGGACTTGGAACAGCAGGGATCCTGCAAGATATTTTCCCCACAAATCCCCTATAGCCCACCACCCCCATGAAGAGATAAAAGCAAGTCTGTGAAGGCCTCCGGCACACTAATGCTCTGTGGCTGCCTAAACTGTGTGCCACACTGGTGTTGTCAAGTGGCCCCCACTTCTCTGGAAGGCCAGGACACAACAGAAGCCGTGATTTCACTGTGACCAGGGACCCAGGGGACACATACCTTAAAGCTATAACCCTGGTCTACCAAGAACCTCTGCCGCTTGGTGGAGTAAGCCATCTCCTGTGTATCCTGGGAAACCAGTGAGTAGAAGAAGGCATTGTACTCCTCTGCAACCATGCCTGAGGAAAAGGAAGGAGAAAGAACACTGGTAGTAAGAATGCCGGAATGTACATCCAGAGTTCAAAAGCCAGCCATGCATTCAGGGAGTTCTGTATGCAGGAGATCACCCAAGGCCTGCAGGGTAATTCTTTTTCATTAACTTGGATTTCATCAATATTAAAAACTGTGCTTAAGAGGGCATAACTAAAAAGAGTGAACCAACAATCCACAGAATGGGAGAAACCATACACGGAGTGTTTCTGATAAAGGATCTGTATCTAGATTACATAACTGTAACAACACCTCAAAAATGGAATCACAAATAACCCTATTATAAAAAAGGATGAAGAAGCAGAAAACAGACAGTTCTCTAAATTTAGAAGACATGAAAAGAGGTAGGGAGGGTCGGAGTAATAGTACAGCAGGTAAGGCGTTGCCTTTCATACAGCAGACCCAGGTCCAATCCCTGGCATCCCATATGGTCTGCCAAGCACCACCAAGAGTAATTCTGGAGTGCAGAGCCAGAAGTAACCCCTGAGCATCGCCACGTGTGATCCAAAAAGCAAAACAAACAAACAAATGGCCAGGGAGCAAATATTAAGAACTCAACAGCATTATTCATCAGAGAAATGCAAATGTAAACCATGATGAGACATCACCAGCTACCCACTATGAAGATGGAGCAAAAAGAAAAAAAAAAGCAGTTAATCCCAGTTGCGACATCCTGTGATGGGGGCCCAGGTCCTTTCCCTGGAGTTGACAAGCAGACACTACCCCGTGCAGATCCTCCTTCACTGAGCTTGTGTGGGGCCCGTGCAATCCTTCACCTGGGCAGCAACCTCAGGCTGAATGCGGGGTCCATCATTCTCTCATGTCCTTGGGGCTGCCCAAGCCACTCTTAACAAGGCCTCCTGTACTCCTGACTTGAGACCCAGGATAGCAGCGTCCAGCGCCTACGCCTCCAGTGCTATGCCACCCCTCCCAGGACTGTACCACTGAGCACCACATCCTGGCTCTTCCTCCTACCTACCAACACCCGGGGGCTACTCAAAGTAGCTCAGCTTTGAGGCTACCGTGCGAAATCCAGGCGGCTGCCAGTGGATAACACCCACACTCACCTTCCAGGCCTGAGAAACAGAAGGGCCACGAGATCTGCTTGTGGCTCTGGGACCCGTGCCTCACAGTTGGCTTACCCCAGGAGCACCAAGCGCATTACAGGGACCCATAGGCGGCTCTGCCTTCCCTCTTCCTATGCTGAGCTGTGTGCAAGGAGAGACCTTGGCAGCAGGGGGAGAGAGTCACCCTCACCTTTTTTGGCTCGGAGCACTCGTCCAAGTCTCTGGGCCTCCTGCCTCCGGGAGCCACCATGAGATGAGATCTGAATAAGGACATTTGCTTCTGGGAGGTCAAACGACGTATCACCCACCTACAGGAACAGAGCTAATGTGAGTAGGAGAGAGTTTCCATATATGGTACACAAAGTGCAAACAAAGACCAAAGGGGCTCAAATGTAAATAAACTGTAGGCTGATCTCAAAACATACTAATTCTCTTCCCTGGTGGCCACGGGGCCCAGCAGCTCATGTGGGACATGTAACCCAGCAGGGGTTACTGCTTGCACTGGACTGGATTCGGATGCAGGGAAACCAAGCTCAGCTTGGGGGTTCTACCCACTGAAGTCCCCAGCCACCAACACCAGAGTCTGGTACTTTTTGACACATCCTGAACCCTTCCTAGGAAGTCTTCTTTTGGGTGCCGGATCTGCTCAAATCCCAAAGTTACCAGGCTTACCTTCACTAGCACCAAGCACACTGGGAGCAGGCAAAGACTTCAAGATTCCCCAAACCAACAAAGAGAACCTAGTCCAAATGCTTCTTTATTACAGAAGGAGTCATTCTGCTGACCTCACTGTAGGTCAAAGTATGACTGCCTTCCTTGTATAGTAAAAATCATAGTAAAGTAAAGGCCCTCCTGTTGATCATCGATTTGCTCGAGCGGGCCCAGTAACGTCTCCACTGGAGACTTTGTTGTTACTGTGTCTGGCATATCGAATACGTCACGGGGAGCTTGCCAGGCTCTGCCATGCGGGCGAGATACTCTTGGTAGCTTGCCGGGCTCTCCGAGAGGGGCGGAGGAATCGAACTCGGGTCGGCCATGTTGGCTGCGTGCAAGGCAAACGCCCTACCACTGTGCTAAATGAAAACTCCTGTACATCCCCAAAACGTGGGAAATGTGTGTGTTGGGGGGGAACATTAATTATGAAAAGAGAATCACTGTCACTGTCTTCTCGTTGTTCATTGATTTGCTCGAGCAGGCCCAGTAATGTCTCTATAGTGACACTTGTTACTGTGTTTTGGCATATCGTATACATCATGGGCAGCTTGCCAGGCTTTGCCGTGCAGGTGAAATACTCTTGGTAACTTGCTGGGCTCTCTGAGAGGGGCGGAGGAATAGAACCTGGGTCTGCCAGGTGGGCCGCATGCAAGGCAAATGCCCTAACCGCTGTACTGACTAATTAATTTGGGTTTCAATCCACATCCGGCAGTGCTTGGGAATCATTCATAGTTCTAGGGATGGAGCTCAGGCCTCCCACCTATAAAACATGCACTCTGGTACTTTGAGGTTTTTTCCCCAGTCCCATCTGGCTAAAAGATTTTCTGGGGCTAGGACTATATTTATGACACATGAACGGGTATTTTATCTATGACACATGAAAACCCCACATTAGCCTCTCACAAGCCAACGCTGGGACAACAGGAATGAAAACTGACACCTGGGGTTCCTTCAACAAACACCAATTCACTGCCCAGATAGTCCAGGATCCTGCCAACCAAACACTGAGCTTGCTGGGGTCTCACAGACCTTGGATATGAAGATGGTGTTGATTTTGGGATTGTGCTTGAAATTCTGGAGAATAAGCATCCTTTCTCCTTGGGATGTAGGGCCATAGATAAAGGGTCTAGGGAAGAAAGAAGCTGAGTTAGTCACACCACCCCTTCCTTATCCTGAAAGCACATCAGAGGGAAAGGAGCCCCTGCAAAGTTTCCCTCCCCTGGGATGTCATCAGGCAAGAATACCAGGAGAAAATCCAGCAAAATGGTGGACCAAAAAATATGGTCCGCTCCTCAGTCTACTCTTCAGGCTCGGTTCAGGTCATCATGCCCTTCGGGATTTTCCCTTTTTCAGTCTGGTTTTGGAGTGTGCTTTTCCCTGCTTTTCCCTCATTCTAAGCATAATATTCACATAAGAAACCCCTGGATTTTATGAAGCCCAAGGAGACTGGTTAAGAAAAGCACTGTAATTTGCAAACAAGTAAGTAACTATTTTGAAAGATACCAGCATCACCAAAGGAGAATAAAAGAGAAAAGAGCCCCCCCCCCCCAGCCATTTTCCCCATTGACCTTTTATAATACTAAGTTCAAAATCATTCTCTGTAATTTCCAATCCTCTAACAAAGGGTTTAACACTTAGGATACCTTCTCTCAGCAATGCCCTCTCTTGCGGAGGCCAGTTCCCAAAGTCGAGTACCAACAGTGGATGTGGTGACAAGAACAGCGAGGGCAGCCCTCGGACATGGAGGGGACCCCCGTCAAGCTCCACGCTCCACTGAAAACCCTTGTTCCTACATCACTGTTCCTGACAAGCACAGAAGGTAAGACTCATGTCAGTATGTACCCAGTATGTACAGAAGAGCGGCTGTCCCACCACCAAGGCCATGAGCTGTGCCAAGGCAGCGTGCTGACGGCTAGAGAGCAGTCCTGCCAACGCGCCACACCACACTTCCCAACTCCCCAAGCCTGAGCTGCAGACTGGGGTCGGCTGCGCCCTAGAGAGCACATGCCTGGGGGGGGGGGGGGGGGGGAGAAGGGGAGGAGAATGCACTACGAGGGACACTCTAGGTTGATGGCCACTGGCCACCACCCATGAAGTGCCATACCTGAGTGTTCAGTCCAGGGTATCACACAAATCTTAATGTTTTCTTACTTATGAGCGCTATGCTATGCAAACGCGATCCTCCTTATTTCCTGCCCCATACAGGCTTTTAGATATTTTCTCTTCTTCTCCTTCATCAACAAAATTACTCACATGTGTTTCTGGTAGTTTCTCTCAAAGAGGAAACGAAAAAGAAATGTGACCTTTCTTTGCACGAAAAAAATCTAATACTTGAATGCCTATCAGATGGGCCATGCACAAGAATCCTTTGAGGAAGTTGTGGCATCTCCATTTGACAGAAGAGCAAAAGGTTCAGAGAGGCGGGCACCTGTCCACAGGTGACACAGCTGAAAGGAGCGGGGACCCAAATCCCATGTGTCTTCACTCCAAAGCTGATGCTCTGTCTTTCACTCTAACAGGTAACACCAAGAGCCCTCCCTGCAAAGTATTTACTGACACCTTCTCCCTTCTTGGGAAGTCTTGGAGACAAACTGCCTGCTATGTGTCCCACGCCACAGAACAGAGCAATGTCCTGGACCCACGTAATTATTAGGCCACAAGAAAACAAGACAGAAACATTTAACTGGAAGTACAAAAAGAAAGAAAGAATAGGAAGTAGAAGTAGAAGCCATCATTCTAGCATCCACAAAAGCACTACCCTCTGAGTAATTCACTGTGCCAGCAATATCTTAACCAGGAAGCAACAAGAAACAAGCCTCAGGTGCTCCAGTGCTTCAAATATCAGTGTCAGGGAGGGTTCTTTGTGGCAGGAAAATCTGATAGGATACTGGAAAGGGGGTGGGGGTAAGGAAGGAAGAGAGAGAAGAGAGTCATGAAACATAACAGAGCAGAATATAATGTGGCAGGGACAAAGCCACAAAAGTGTCCACCCCCCTCCCCCCACCCCAAAAGTAACAGCTTGAAAGAGAAGTGACCAACACCACGGATGCAGCAAAACAGATGGATGCAGGCCTAGTTAATGAGTCCCAAAGAAGACAGCCAAGCCCACGGTGCAGGAAGGAAAGCCGATAGAAAAGAAGCCACTTTCCCAGAAAGGTTCGAGAATGAGTCCCAACTGCCTTGGCAGGCGCTGATAGGGCAGGGGAGCGGACCAAATTGGTGTGAGGGACAGGATCAGTCCCACTGTCCCACTGAAGCAGCCTCTAGACGTGCCTCCTCCTCCCATCTGGCAGGAAACTGGAGGCTGACTCGGGAAAATCAATAAGGAGGGTCAGAAGTGAGCACCTCAGGAGAACCGAGCGCAGAACAGAGGCCGAAGGGGAAGAATGAAGGAAGCCCCTTCTGTCTCCCCTACCATATGCCGGAGACCCAAAGGTTTCTCGCTGGAGAAACTGTCCAACCCACGCCTCTAGAGCCCCAAATCCCTGTGACCTTGAGCAATATGCCTGCTGCATTCTCACACAGGGGAGATTTGCTGTCATTCCAACTCTTCCACACTTACTTATTCAGTTTAATGGCATATTCCTGCAGGGCGAAGACATTATCAGCAAAGACAATGATCTTGTCATTCCTCCTTTCGTGAAACTTGATCAGAAATTGGCAAGCTCTGAATTTGTTGGGGTTCATGGTGTACAGCAAGATCCGTTTCTTAGTTTTAATTGCCACATATTCCCGGTAAAACTCAGGAGACATCGGGCACCAAACCTGAGATACAACAGAAATCAGGAGTCAGTATGCAAGTTCAAAGACCACAATTGGAAACCTTTTTTTTTTTGGTGTGGAGGGACGGGCACACCTGGCTGAGCTCAGGGTTTACTTCTGGCTCTGCACTCAGGGATTACCCCTGGAGTGCTGGGGGTAGGCGAGGGCGGGGGAAGACCACATGGGGTACTATAAATTGTCAGGCCAGCCACATATAAGGCAAGTGCTCAACCTGCTTTACTATAACACCAGCCTCAACAAAACTGGAAACTTTTGAAGACCATTCCATTAATGAAATCAACTTAAAAAAAAAAATCAAACCAATAGTAACTGAATTATATGTTAAAAAATATGTCAGATGTAAATTATATGTTAATAAAACTGAAACTCAAGTGCATTCACACACACGCTCATACATACACATGTGTACGCACACATATATGCGTGCATGCACACACACACACACACACACACACACACACACACACACACACACACACGGAGGACACTTCCTATCCTGGTTATGACCCACTACAGTGAAGCTACTACACAGAAGTCCTGAGGAAGCAAGATTGCTCTGCAGCCCAGGAAATAAGTACAATATCTGTAATAATACTGTCATCATGAGAAACAACCAAGGTTCAAATGTATGGAAACAAAAAATAAATCAGTGGCTGCCTAGAACTGGGAGGAGATGTAGAGCTTCGTTATAAGCATGGCTGACAACTTTCTGGGGTGGTAAAATGTTCTGAAAATGGGTTGTGCAGATACCTGCACAATAATTTGTATTTACTAAAATCAGAATTTACTTACAATAGGTAAGGGTTACAGAACCAGACAGAAGACTAGCTATACTTAGCTAAAACCAGGTTGGTTTTTTTTTTGGATGGGAAGGAGGATTTGGATTTCTGGGCCACATTTAGCAATAGGGGAGTTGGGAACAGTCATGTGAAGGTGCCAGAAAGAATGTTGTTCCTCCAGAGTGGGGTTACCTATAAACATGTATTTTCACATGTGTATTTTATTAAAAGAAAAAAAAATCAGGGAGGGATCTGGGTGCAGCGGCTGGTGTTGGAGCACTACAACCAGGGCACTGCTCAGGGGACCCAGTGCCAGGGTCTGAACCAAGGCCCCAGGCATGTGGCGCACCCACACTAGTCCTGTTACCTATCTCTTTGGTGTTGATTACAGAACAAAAATGGGAAGTACGTTCTTTGAAACACAATGTTCAAGGCCACAAGAGTTCTCTGGGGGTATCAAAACCAACAGACTTTGCTCAGGGAAGGGGCTGGGCTTGCACAGGAGCAGGTCGGGGTACTCACTCCAGCGGGGAGAAGCAGCTGCCTGCCTGGGAGTGATGACCACTGCTCACTGACTGTGCCTGTCTCGGGCCCGAGATGGTTAGAGCACTGACCACCTCCTGGGGCAGCAGCTGTCGGCTCAGGTCCTGCAAGAGTGCCTGCCCTCCAAGCAGGATCCTGCCCGTTTCCCCTTAGCCCTTCCAAACTATGTGGGAAGGGACAGCTACCTCAGCACACTGGACCTTGGCGATGTAGCCGTTGTTCTGCAGTTCCATCCAGTTGGCTTCATAGAGCTTGGGCCCGATCAGAAAATTTAAGTCAACAATCTTGTCGTCTTCCCGAACAAGCGTGGCTGTCAAGCCCAGCTTGCAGTGGGCCTGCACGATGGTGAGCACTCGTCGGAACATCTTAGCTGTGGAAACAATTGGCAGGTTCACACTTTTTTAAACGTCCCACTACCACATACAGCCTTGCAACTAAATACTGGCCTACGATACTACACTGGCTAAGTGCCAGGTAACTGGCTGGCAGAGAGCTGTTCTAGGCAAGGATGACTGGGCAAGAACAACTAATCACTTTAGGCTTGTTCAAGGAGTAAGGATAGTAGGAGGGCAAAAGGATTTTAAAGAAGCTTTGCAGCCTCAGCACTGTCTCTTCATTCTCCCACCATCTTCCCATAAACCACGGGGAAAGCCAGGACAGACAGCTGCACCCCAGCACCTAACCAACCTGCCCGAGGAGGTTCCCTTCTCACTTCTGACTAGTTCCTTTCTCAGCTAGCAACTTCCTTGGTCTTCCTTCCTCACAAAGTTAACATTCTCTCTACTTAAATTAAATAAGCACAAAAAGGGTGTGAGATAAAGTTAAAACACGTTGAATGTTGATCTCACAACATAATTAAGGATAAGATTTCAGAAACAGACAAAACAATCTGAAGGAAGAGAAGTTGCACCATACTTGAGAACACGGGACAGTGAAAATGCAAAGAACTGGGCGAGAGATAATAAATCGGGCAGAGCGCTTGCCTTGTACTTGACCAACCCGGGTTCAATCCCCAGCATCCTCCGAGCACCACCAAAAGTAATTCCTTAGTGCAGAGCCAGGAGTAAGACCTGAACACTGCTATATGTGACCCCAAAAGAAAACTTGCTTAAAAATGGATAGACATGGAGAGTATCATACTGAGTAAAATGAGTCAGAAAGAGAGGGACAGAAGAACTGCACTCCTTTGTGGCACTTTACCCTGCCTGTCCCCTGACCTCGGCAATCACTGTTCTCCTCTAGGCCAGGTCCATGTGGCTGCAGTCACACACATCAAATGCTTTCCTGCCTCAACACTGTATTGCAAACCATAATGCCCAAAAGTAGAGAGAGAATATGGTGAACATTGTCTGTCATGGAGGCAGGGGGAGGATGAGGAAGGGGGTGTATACTGGGGAGATTGGTGGTGGGAATGTGCACTGGTAGAGGGATGGGTGTTTTGATCATCCTGTCATTGTAACCCAAACATGAAAGCTTGTAACTATCTCACAGTGAGTCAATAAAATTAAAAAAAAAAAAAAAAGATAAAGGCGTTGTTCCTTCTACTTGACCGGTTGTGAACATCTTTAGGAAACTTTGAACATCAAGAGGTGCTGCGGGGGCTCTTTTTACACAGAAGAAAGCCAGAGGCAAGCACCATTTGGGCACTGTGAAAACTATGTGAAAAAGCCTGCCTCAGATTTTATTTCATTCACTGTTCTCGCTAATTGACAACTTATCAGTTCCCTTAAAAAAGGTTCGCCTGGAATACAATTTGGCACTAAAAGGAGCACAATCTCAATATAACATGGGTGAACCATTATGCAAAGAAGTCAGATTTAAGAAAATAGGTATGATTCTGTTAATAAGATTTCCAGAAAAGACAAGTCCACGGAGACAGAAAACAATACAGGGCTTGCTAGAGGCTAGACCTGAAAATACTGACTATAAATGGGTATGATGATGTTTTAAAATTGGATTGCGGTAATGGTTTTACAACTCCATGAATTTACTAACATTCCTGAATTGTGTACTTAAAATCATACAAATGATATTAACATAACTTTTAAAAAATGTTTGCCTGCACTATTTGGAGAAGCAGAGTTTCTATTGCAAGCAATTTGAGGCCTTTCCATAAGGCCACTGAAAACTAGGAGATGCAACAGTAAAGAAAGATGGAGGGAGAAAATAATTAATGAAAATGTACTCTGGGTCAGGGACCAAGAAGTCATGATTATGGACACCCATCCACACTCTACCTACCCTCCACAAGTGCATCACCCAGCAGGTCCACCTAGCAAGGTGGATGTGCTACATAGCAGTCTCTCTCTGAATAACAGTGAGCAGTGAATTTCACCTCTAGTGAATGGACAGTTCAGTTCTGTCTGCTTACCTGGGATGGTGTGGACTTCATCTAGGATCATAAGGCCCCACTCCTGAGTTTTGAGCCATTCCATGACTCGCTCAGCCTCCCAGGACCTTTTGGTGGTGTGGCCCAGCATGGAATAGGTGCTAATGGCAATGGAGCAGCCAATAGGCTTGTCCTTGGCATCAGAGGTGAAGCGGCAGATTTGGCTGTCATCAATGGTGGACCACATTTTAAACTGGGCTTTCCACTGCTCCACGGACACTGCTGAGTTGCCTAGCACCAGACAGCGTTTTCTGACAGTGCACGCAGCTGTCACACCGACCAGGGACTTCCCAGCACCTATGAGAAAGTAAAGCAAAATCCTCCTCAAGGCCAGGTTGCAATGAAGGTCGCAGAATGACTCAAACTATTTGTACTGATTCTCCTAGCTGAAACTCTGAGACATGTATTGCTCTGAGAATTTCTGTACAGAAGAGGAACCAGACACACTTCAAATTCCAGTGTGAATAAAAGAGGTCTAGAACTTTATAAGCATCTTGTTTAAGTGATGAAATTGCAGAAACACAAAACCAAAGATTAAAAAAAAAAACTTACTCTCATTTCTGTTTGTTTTGGGGCCACACATGGCAATGCTCCAGCATCCAGGGTTACTGCTCTAGGTCTACACTCAGGAACTATTTTTGACTGTGCTCAGGGGAACCATTATTTGATGCCAGGGATCAAACCCAGGTCAGCTGCATACAAGGCAAGAGCTCTACCAACTACTATCTCTCCAGCCCTTTATTTCTTTTTGATGTGATTCCTTTTGGTTTTGGTTCCTGACTCCACTTGGTGGTGCTCAGGGAACCATACGTAATGCTAGGATTCAAAACTTGTCAGCCCCATGCAAGGCCTATGCCTTAACCATGTATTATCCCTATAAAAGCTACAACAGCCATTTGAAACATGGGAAAACTAAAACTCTAGCTTGTCCAAGACCAAAGGCAGAAGTGTTACTGGGCAGTTAGTGTGCCTAACAGATTGCATAAAGGACTCAGTACAAGATAAGTCATTACTATTGTTTTTTAAATTTTATTGCCAACAATTTATAGGGTTTTTTCCCATATAACTTGAATACCTGCTATTGACAATTTAATTTACTATTATTATTATTCCACAAGTGTGCTGACAAACAGAAAAGGAAATGAAAGTAAACAACTGGAACTATATTACAGTATATTTTCCTATGCACAGCCAAAAAAAAAAGAAAAAGAACAAGAGAGCTACTTGAACACAGAAGATATCTGCACACTGTATGTATTATTCATAACAAGCCATACAAAATATTTAGGATCTGCTTTGGGGGCAGGTTGGAAGGTGCTGGGAACATTTGAAATAATGCTGGTGGGAAGAGGCTATGGTGGTGGGACTGCTGTTGGAATACTGAATGTAATAAGCTATTGTGAGCAACTTTAAAAGATAAAATTAAAGGGAAAAAAAGAACTCAGGAAAGGACTGTCATAGAATAAACGCTAAGGAGGCAACAACTGCCCTTTCTTGAATGTGAACACTGTAATACACCATCTAAGGAAAAGCAAAGTTTCTATGCTCTGAAACTTCCAAATGTACCCAGCTCAGAAAAGACTGAGTGCACAGAATGAGAAAACAAACCCGGAATGTGAACCATCCTCACATCACTGCCTATCCCCTCATCCTACACTCGTTTTCTTCAGTGTTCAAGGTATCATCAAGTGAGTCATTTTGTTTACCATCTATCTCTACCCCTCCAAGACAAGCTCCACGAGGACAGGTGTGTTATTCTGTTCACCATCATATAGCCAGGAGCCCTGCATACACAGTAAGCACTTGGCGAGTTCTGCATCCAGACTCATCTGACCTACGCTGTCCTCTGGCAAGATGTGAGTTGGAGAAATGTGCAAAGGGTGAGCAAGAGGAACCTGGCAGATTCAGACAAAAAAACCTGGCTGTCACCTTCTGGGTCACTTACCACAAGGAAGAACAATGACTCCAGACCGTGCACGTCCATTCCCAAACATCTTCCGCAAACTCTTCTCCTGATAAGGTCTGAGGACAGCTGTGGGTTTCAGATCAATGTTGATGTCAGGGTTAACAGAATCATTCCGGAAGTCATATTCTGCCAATAGAGGGTACTCCAGGTGGATGCAACGTTTCTGGAGTTCCTCAATCATTTCCTGGGAAGTGAGCATGAAGGGTCCATAATCTTGTTAAATCCAAACCGTGCTTTGAGAAACAGCACATATTCCGAGAGACCTGACCTAACAGTCAAAAAAGTCGTTTATCTAGACCTTTGCAATTTCAGGTCTTGTATGGCAGCTACTAGTTTCAAGCATAGAAAAGCAACCCAGACTAAGAACACAGACAAAATTAAATCCAAACTGATCATCAAAAAAGCTCCTTAAATATCCTTCCTTACATCCATCCAGTGACTGGTAAGGTCTGAGTAACAGGACATTCAGATAACCCCTTTAGGATGAATGATGCTCAGGCTTCCAGGTACCCCAAAAAGCAAGGAATTCAGGATTCCTTCCTCTCAGACTAGAGACCACTGAAGAAGGGCTACACTACTCTTGGTCACCAGAGAAGGAACAGTCAAAGGAACTCTTCAGAGAAGGAAGCGGGGGGGGGGGGGGGGGGGGGTTGGGGGTGGCGTATTAAACTGACCTGCTTGACCTCAAAAGATACTGTCTGTGTCTCTTCTTCTTCTTCCTCATCCTTGTCCATTTGCTCATAAAAGTCAAACAGGTCGGTGGGGATCTCAGATTTTCCTTGTGGATCTGTCACCTGAGAAGTGGAGGGCCCACTGCCGCCCTCAGCAGTCTTAGCGATCTGTCAAAGAAAGGCAGGATCTGGATTTGTGTGCAACACTCAACCCCAGTGATCAAGCAAGCGTCAAAGTCACCAGGAGAACTTAAAGAGTCACAAGAAACCTGCAGGGCCCATAGGGTGCAAGTGCTGGGTGACAAGTACCAAAAGAATTGAAACCCAAATGCCCACCCTCCCCACCCCCACCCAAAAGGGACCCAGGAGCCCACATACAGCTGATTTGCTTGTGAAAGTCTCTGTGATGAGCTCGGTAGTCTCCCCTTCGGCATTCCTCAGGCGACATTCGCGAATCACTGGATCCTGGAGAAGATGCTGAATGACATCAGGGTGGGAGCTTTCAACGAAGTACCTATAAGAGGAGGGAGGAGGTGTGCACTGATCTGCACACTATTTCCAGTAAGTTCCACTGCTTATTCAACTAGGGAGTCTTGAAATACTGCCTCCTGTCCTCTCTCCATTTTTAGGGGGGTGGAGGGGGGGAGACGGGCACGGGGAAAGTGGTGCTTAGGAGCTACTCCTGGCTTAGTGTTTGGGGGATGATACAGTGCTAGGGACTCAACCTAGGGCCGCACATATGTAGGACAAGTACTAAGGCACACCTGCAACTTTTCTCTCCACTTTTTCACTTTCCCAACAACCCTTAGCCAAATTTTGAGTTTTGAGATATTCAATATTTATGATATAAAGCAAGAGGGTTGGGTACCACAATGAAATTAAATAAGCAGGAATCTAGGCCTGAGCCCCACTGCTTTGGAAGGGCAGAGTGGCCAATGGAAAAAGATTCCATGTTAGCCCTGTCATTTCACTTCTCCCCTCACTTACTTGGGGGTGCTGCCTGCTGTGTAGCAGAGCAAAATTTCTAAATGTGAGCTGCACGCCAACTAGTGTGCAAAGGGAGAAAGCACGTGGGATGACCCCTGAGAGGCCCTTACCTGTTGTGCTTCAGAACCAGCTTGACTTTTCCGTAGCTGATAGTACACAGCTGTGGGGGGGATAACAAACAAAGCAAAATTGGCAGCATGCAGCTCACTCAGAACACATTCATAACTGAGCACATCTTACCCAACAAGAGGAGAGTTCCATTTTTAATTTAGGAAAACCCAGTGTGCAATCCCAAGTGCAGGGGTTGGGGGTGGGCGTGGAATCTAAATTGAGCCTTTTCTATTAGCTTCTATTTTTTTCAGATCAAAACCTTCTTCTTGCTGGGCTAATTCTGATGTCTACTACTTCCACTACTTTTGAATCTTTTTTCAAAAGCCACTTTTCATCTTCTGTTTTCCCTATCCCTTTCTTTTACATTCCCCACAGGACTCATACTAACCCAGATATTGACCTGCCATCAGTAGCACTTACAGCTACTAGCACAAAGTTGGCAAACAGTCACGCACTCAGAAATCGTTGATTCCTAAGCTTACTGGGCCCCTCACTAATGTCCTTCCTCCCCTAACTGGAATCTAAGCTTCTGAATGGTGGAGAATAAAGTTTAGATCTAGTACGGTTCCCCAAGAATCTTCAGAATGGAAGGCAGCATGCTGTACAGCGGTCATGAAAATTCCCACTCAGCTCTGCAGCAGCTGTCTGCCTGCGCTATCGTTCTGGCTCTACTCCTGCACTGGGCAACACTTAATCCCTGCAGGATGTTCCCAGCCAACACTGACCCCAGCCAGAGGTGCAGGCCTTTCTCCCCTGGGTCACTTCTCAGGGCTCCTGACAGCTTCTCGGAAATTGAATTTATCACTGTTGCGCGTGCCTCTGTCCTTCATCTACAGCCACTACAACTTGGGGATCAGAATCCAGCTGCCCATCTCTTCGAAATGATATTCACCTATCTCGGGACACACCACAAACCAAAGCATGCTAAACTGCTCTTCTCATGGAACCCAAACCATTTCAAAATGTAAAGTTCTTTTTGATTTTCCCTAATGGAAACTCCTGACTATTAGTCTCAGTTTTGCAGTGGAGTATTAGCCTGCTAACTCTGTCAATAAAAAAGCATCAAAAAGTGGGGGCTTAACAACAGAGAGCTGTTTCTAGAAGCCCATGACCAAGATGCCAGCCAGTTCAGATTTTCATGAAGACTCTTGTTCTAGCTGGCTCAGGGATGCCTTCATACATGTGCTCACACAACCTCTTCCACGTGCACAGAGCATGTGGGAGCCTTCTGGTGGCTCCCCTGTAAGGACACCAACCCGTGCCCCATAACCTTATCTGCCTAGTTACTTCCTTATGCCAAATACAATCACATCACAGGCGAGGGTTTCAACATACTGTGGAGCGAACAGAATTCAGTCTATAGTACCATTCCCTTGGGCCTGCATTCCCTAATAATCCTAGTTAGAATGAGCCTGTTCCCCCTAATATGTGAGCACCCACTACTAGTTCAGAGCAGCTCAGGGGAAGTGTGGCATCAGAAAGAAACACAAGGTTGGGTTCTGAGGCACAGCGGCTGGGGTAATCAAATATTCTTTGCCCCACACTAGATCTAAGCGTGCATTTTCAATGTCAGCCACAAGTTAACAATGTGTGGCTCCTATCACTACCTTAGCAAGGAGGCAAATGAGCTGGCCTGAGTCCTCACTCACCTTAATGAACTGCATAATTCCATCAGGGACGCCTGTCTTGCTGAGCTTCCTGAGATATTCGGTGATATCACTGGTCTGCAGTCCCACACTGACCGCTGCGTACAGGGAGTAGGCAGTTAGTTTGTACTCATGCACGTGGGTTGGTCGGCACACTGGCTCAGCGATAGCCACCAGGAAGTCTTGAGCATATTTGTAAACTGGAGAGAAGGCTTCTAAGAAGATGTGGCCATCAGGAGCCTGAGAAACACCAAACAGACCCCTCAGATTAGAAAACGAAAGAGATGCAGAAATACTGCTTCCCATATCCTTAACCAAAAAAAAGACTGGTGCCAGAGAGACAGAACGGGAAGGAAGGCATTTGCCCTACACGTCACAAACCCCAATTCAAATCCCAACAGCACCCCTACTTCCATCCCAACCTCGGCATCACCACAATATAGGTCTCCTCAGCACCACCAGGAGGTCACTCCTGAGCACATAGCCAAGAATAGTCCCTGGGTACATCTGGGTGTGGCCCCAGAACAGAAAATCAATAGTTCAGCAGGTAAGGCATTTGACTTGCATGTGGCCTACCTGTGTTCCATCCCATATGATTTCCCAGGTTTACCAGGTGTGACCCCTGAACACAGAGCCAGAAGTAAGCCCTGAGCACCACCAGGTATGCCCCCTCCCACTCCCACCTGAAAAAAAAAAAAAGAAAAAAAGAGACTGCCCCTAAAAAGGAATTTGATAAGTGCTCCCTCAGCTTTCTATGGGACCTGTTACTTTCATCAGATAAGAGGGTAAAAAGAAAAGAGCATTTCCAAAGGAAGGAGCTGCACCCCACAAACTAGAAAGTAAGTGGTCTGCCTTGCAACAGTTGGAACTTTTACTTAGAGCTCAAAAGAAGGTAGTGTCTTTCATTAATTCAAACAGGGCAAACAGGCTGCCTAGCAAACATGTCTCCCACTTAAATTTTTGAATGGGGAATTAAGCTGTCACACAATCATGCCATTTATCCGGGAGAGAAAAGCAGCTGTGTTGAATCGCTGGTAGATCTTGGGGGTGGGGGGGGGGGAGCTTTAGTACGTGTACAGGGAGGGCAAGAGACAAAGAAAACCCAGTCGGCTTGGCACCCATGCGGGGCTCCTGCTCATTCCCGGGTCGGGCTGTTGGGATGGTGTGGCTGAAAGCTCTCTCTCCGGGGTGCTCCGCAGGGCAGCGCCCCCCCCCCCCCCAACACTCCACCTCCTCGCCTCAGCTTCTGCTTTGGCCCCACAAACCCTTGGGCCCTGCCTCTCAGGAGGGTACGCTTACCACCCAGAGGGGCCTGGAGGAGTGGTCGTCCTTCAGCGGCATCTGCAGCCGGTAGTCCTTGGCTCCGTACTCATCCACCTTGGTGCCAGACTCATCCACTTGCTTGCCGGCCGCCGAAGGGACCGCTTCCTGAGGCTCGATGCCAGGGAGGTCGTCCTCCTCTTCTTCTTCGTCCTCATAGTGCCGCTTCTTGGACTTCTTTTTATCTGCAGATTGGATACAGGCTTGAGCCCACCGACGGCCTAGGGTTTCCGCCACAATGCCTGGAGCATGGGGGGAGGGGGGAGGCCGGACCCCCCCAAGGCTCGATTTAGTGGGCTCCGGCTCTAGCTCCCCAGCGTCCTCGCCCACAAACGCTGCTTTCCACCCGGGCCAGTCTGCAGGGCTGCGTGGGGGTCTCGGATCGCCGCCCCCCCCGCCCGCCCCCACATAGCCCTGCGGACACTGGGAACTCCACGAAGCCAGGCGCAGCCGCGGTGATAACAAATCGCCTGGCTCGGCGGGCGTGGGCAGGCTCACCACGGTCAGCCCGGTCTTTCTTGCCCATAGCAGCTACAGCAACTCGCACCGCCGATCCCCACGGCTCCCACACCCCCGCTCTGCGACCGCCCTGAAGGACTTCCGGTTCGCACCGGAACTACAACCCTGCGGAAGGCGGCGCTCCCGGCCCGGCGGCTGAGTGGGCGGAGCGAGCGACCAGCGGGAGTTGACAGGTGGATGATGCTCTGTTGGGTCCTTTGCTCCATCTTCTTTCCAGAAATCAGCCAATGAGATCGTTGAAGGGACGGTTTTAACAGTCGGAGCACGACAATAAGCACAATCTTGCCTCCTGGAATAGAGCGATGTGGATAGTTAAAGAGCTCCAAGGTAAAGAAAAAACAAGGTGTACACCGTTTTTTTTTCTTTTTTTCTTTTTTTTATTAGTGAAACACCATGAGGTGTATACCGTTTTTAAACAATAGTCTCGTGGAATCTTGCTCAGGTCAGAAACGTGAAAGAGAAGATGGGGTGTACTTTCGAAACTGAAGATCCTTGAATGATTTTTAATAATGCACCCGCTGTAGAGTTAAATACATTTCAAATTTAATCTTCGTTCCAAATTCCTCAATAACATTCCTGCTATTTCATAAGTTAATATAAAAACATTTGGAAAATAGAAGCTGAATCTCATTTCAGAATATATGCGCATCATATCATTGCTTTGGACACCATAAGAACGCAAATACCAGTTATATCACAGTAATAAATCTGGTGAAAAATAAATAATAGTCTCAGAATACCCGTGAATGTATTGAAGTGAGATAGTGTTCCATATAATTGAGCGATGGAGGAGCAGTATGACTGGCAGAAGGGCAGGAGAACTGCCCCTATTGAGGTCGAATTGTGGATTTTAAATGGGTCTCCTTGTGTTCAAACAACATATGGGAACTGGTTAAAACTAATACAAAGGGACAAATGCCCTGGATCTGACCCCAGTCAGACCTGTAGAATACGATACTATAAATTTGGCCTCCCAAGAAGATGCTGTCTAAGTTTGTTGGCCCAAGATTTTGATCAATGAAAAAAAACATTATGTTATTATAAAATGAAAAGAGTTTTAAGTAGAAAAATGAAAATTCAATCTACTAGTAAAGAATAATCACACCAGCTATTGAGTTCAAGACTCTTTACAAGGTCCAAGAGCTCTGGTGGCACTTGACTTCACTGAACTCACTAGGATGGTAGGAGTGAAGGTTGAGCAAGTGTTCCATTCTGAATATTCTGGAGAGGGAGTAGGTTTTGTTGAATCACATTTCCATATATCCAGAGACAGATGAGTAAAGGAGAACTGCAAAAATTTCCTGAGCAACTATAAGAGATGATGTGGTATAACTAAGGTATAGATTTGAAGGATTGCTTCAAACATATTGAAATGTGTGATTGTATTAGTCTGATTCAATTTATAACAAAGTCCCACCGACTGTTACTTAAACAGTTCTGGAAGACAAGGTGAAGGTGCTTCCTCTTACTCACTTAAAGATGGTCGCCACTTTCATGCCTTCTTACTGTGCCTTCTTCTGGGGGGATGAAAGAGGGACAGCTCTTTGTTTCTTCCTCTTCACACCGTAGCACCAGCTTTTTACAGAGGGTCCACCTGTTTGGCTTAACCTTTATCAAATCTTCAGACACTCTCCATACCTAGTCACATTGGCCATTAGGGGTATTACACTGCAGTTTGAGACCAAGGATGTTGCTTTGTGGTGGAGCACATTCCTCACACGAGTGAGGTCCTGGTTCAATCCCAAGCATCACTACAACAAAAATTTAGGAGAGGGAAAAATCCTGTCCACAATTCTGGCATATTAGACAAAATATCTGGGCAGAAGTTGGTAAATCTGAAGTTCAGGAACCAAGAAAATGCTCTTTTTTCAATAGCACAGTGGGTAGGGCCATTCATTGCCTTGCACGCAGCCAACCCGGGTTCGATTACTCCTTCCCTCTCGGAGAGCTCAGCAAGCTATCAAGAGTGTCCTGTCCACACGCCAGAGCCTGGCAAGCTTCCTGTGGTATATTCGATATGCCCAAAATAGTAACAACAAATCTCACAATGGAGTCGTTACTGGTGCCTGCTCAAGCAAACCGGTGAACAATGGGAGGATAGCGCTACATAGTGCTACAGTGCTTTTTTTTTTTTTAAAAAAAGAATGAGTCTTGAAATATTTCAGCGGCCCGTTCTCATTCCTTTTCCAAACTGAACAGTATCAACTGAGGAAGAGTCAAAATAGTAGTAAAAATCCAGAATGAGTCCCTACTTTTCAAGGTGAAGAAAATGAATCATCTTTTATATGCTGCTGAGTGAACAATGATTTCTCCCTTATGGAATAAATATGTATATCCTCTGCCTATCTTCCATTATACTTTGAAAACAGATTTCTAGTCTTGATTTTACAGATGGAAAGGAAGTTTGCTGGTAATAATCACACCTTGAGTCTTTTACACAATTTGGATGGCATAAAGTTTAGATGAGATGTTAAACTGAGTTGATGTTGGAATGAGTAAGACTTTGGGGATATAATGAATAATTTTGCCCACAGGAAGGAAATGAAGCTTTAGAGTTGGAAGGATTGATCAATGGATTTGTAGTCCCCTCCCCACAAGATATTTTGATATTCTAACCTCAATACTCAGACTATTTCTTAGAAATAGGGTCTTTACAAGTAATTAAGTTGAAAGGAGAAAACAAGGTCATTCAGGGTCATTCAAGTGGGCCCTAGTTTAACATGACTTTTTTTTTATGGAATAGTAGCCAGAATACAGGGATTAGGGTGATTGCCTTGTACATGACTGACCCTGATTCAAACTGTGACACCTCTGCAGTCCCCAAGCATCACCAGGGGTTAAGTGTTGAGCACCCCCAGCTGTGCCTTCAAAATAAAACAAATGGTCAGAAAGACACACAAAGGAGAATACCACCTAAAGATAGGAGGGACAGATTGGAATTATGTTGCCACAAGGAAAGCATGAGGATATCAAAAGGAGGAGACAGAGGATACCTTTCTGAGGATTTCAAAGTAAGCAGAGATAATACCTTCATTTGGGACTTACAGATTCTTCTCATGCAGAGAGTAAGTGTGTTGTCATAAGCTACGTTTGTGAAATTTATTGTAATAGTCCCTATCATTGAGGTTTGGTTTGAGACTTACAGATAATCTTTGTGTACTGCCATCATTTCCACTGGACTAGAACTTCTGGGTCAGAGGTTATACAAGATTCTGGGGTCTTTGGTTTGTACTGTAAAGTTGCTGTCTGATGGTATGGCATAATTTTCAACACTGTGGCAACATCCATTTTTTTTTCCACATTCCAGCATTAAGCTTTTTTTTTTTTTTTGGGGTGTGTCATACCTGAGCAGTGCTCAGGGATCTGGACTCAGGAATCACTCCTGGCTCAGCTCAGGGGACATTATGTGAGGTGTTAGGGATTGAACCTGAATCAATCAGATCTTCGGCATGGGAGGCAAACATCCTACCTGCTGTATTATCTTTCTGGCCTCTAGGTTGTATTTTTTAAATCACAGTTAATTTCTAATTTGCATAATCAAGTAGGGCAGAAAAGGAAATCAGAGCATGTTGGATAGGGCATATATTGTTTTGGGGCCACACCTGGTGGTGCTCAGGAGTTACTCCCATCTCAATACTTGGGGGCAACACAGTGCTGTTTATCAACCAGGCCTCCCTCATGCACAGCATGCACTTCAGCCCTTTGAGCTATAGCTCTTCCCTGAGCAGGGCATTTTATACTTATATTCTAGATTTAGTTGCAGTGTACTTTGTCTGTACTTGGTGTCCAAGGAAGTTATCAACTCTAGCAAAATAACTAAGAACACACCATGCTAAGAACAGAACTGGACAAGCAATTCACAGTGGAAATAAATATCAGCTTTATTAACACTCAAAGTGCCATCCATATATGTTCATTCCATAGTCCAGGAGGTTTACTTACAGTAAACCTTTGCACCACAATCTTTCCCAAAAAGAACTGATGTGTAAGAAAAAGAATTTTCATTGTGCTAATTATTGCAAGCCTTCATGCACAATAAATCTAAACAAAGATGTGTTCCAACAATATACAAATTTCCATATAAACAAAGTCATTGATTACTAACAAAATATAAACATGGTTTCTTTTACATTAATTTTTAAAAAGCTATTTACCAGCAAAGAAAAAAAAACAAGTACATAGAAAATGTAATACTCAGAAATTTTATACATTTTTACAAGCACAATTTTGAATGAACAACACAAAGTCAAAATGTGCATGAAATGTGGCACGTACCACACAGCATCTGGCTTCCGATAGGTTTTCCTAATCATTCGGCTTCTTGTAACACTAAGCGTAATGACAATCAGCTTCAACAGTGGACTTTATTCCAAACACAAGCAATTTATGCAGTACCGCATATTAAAAACAAGATTTTTCTATACGTACAATCTACAAGATTGGAAATTTAAATTCCAATTCTTTTTCTGCCAGTTACTTAAAATACACAGTACAGTAGAAAGACACAACAATCTATGTTTGGACGTCTGTTAACCAAGTTGTAGTCAATTACAGAAAATCACAATTATGTTTATGTGTTGTTTCCTAAGTGTGGTAGGACCCTGTCCACTAAGAGAAGAACTGAACGCTGAAATCTTTTGGGGAAGAATTAAAAAATATGTAAAAAAAAAAAAAGCAAACTTGTGATATAAAAATCTTGACATCTCTTCAAGACAATTTAGTTTCACATTTTTTTTTCAGAACTCTGAGAATTCAATGGCCATCTGAATTAGACAACATTTTTGCTACAGTTTAAAATCTGTTTTTTCCTTTTTATTTTCATTTCACTGAATTCTCAGAAGAGATTCAATATACTGCCTTGCAAAAGTACTTGAAAGTTTGCCTTCAATTCTGGAAATACAAATACATTTTGAATGGTTAAAAACAAAATTTAAAAACTTTTTGATCAGCCAGCTGAAAATATATTTATATAGTAAATAATCTCTCAGAAAGCTTTTATATATATTTACTCTAACTAAACAGTACCCTTATAAAACAAGTTCATAAAAATGTAGAAATGAAATTAAGAAATTACTGGGATATATACATGTGCCAACAAACAAAAAAATACATCTCCACACACATACAACCCCTGATATGCAGTTACAATCATACTTTCAACTTAGTCATGGATTTTAGAATACATATAAAATCAGAAAGTGATGTTGAACTCCTGAGTTCTTCAACAAAGATAGAACCATAGATACTTTGTAAAAGCAAGAGAGTCCATTTAAGTCAGTAATAGCAGTGTAGTTACTGATGGCTACATATTAAAAGAAGTTAAAACAGAGACACAGACAGTAGTTCAATGCACTCATTCATGATACTCATACACTCATCAACAATTATTGGTCAGAGTAGTAAATCAGTGTACAAATTAAACGTTTCCAAAAATGTGCAAAAAATTCAACCTTGATAGGGAAAAAAACTTTGTACACAATTATAAACTTCCCAGTTGAGAATTATAAAATTCTCAGCTGAGATTTAAAATGTTTATACAGAGAAACTAATATAGAGATTTTAATGCCTATATTTAAAAATGTACATTAGATCAGGGTACATTTACAAGTTGATAATCATAGTTTTCAACAATTAAAAGTTTACTCTCAACTTATTTAACTTATAAACTTATTAATCCAACTTTACTTTTATTTACAATGATATCTGAATAAAAAGAACCATGTGAAATGTAAGAGATGTCAGACTTCAAAAGTATTTTTGGTATTGATTCTTATAATATTTCAGAATGCAGGGTAACAATTTTAAAACCAACAGCAATAGAAAAAATGTAAACTTCTTACTTTCTAATTAAGATTGTATTATAAAGAACTGTTTGTTTTTAAAGAAGTATTCTTATTCTTAGACACTGTACTTTTATTGAACAGGGTACATTTAGAAGGTTTTGGCCCATTTTCTTTTGCCCATTAAGTCATTCCAGCTCAAATGTTTCATTAGTCCTTTCTTATTCCAGGTAGAAAAAACTCCTCTGGAAAATAGGAACATGTCCAATCCATTTTGAATGCAAAGTTTCTCACAGAACTTAGGATGCAATTTTGTTACTTTTTATACCCCTCTTCAAGTAATAATGCCAAAAATCGCCTCTAGATATATATGCTCTTAAAAACAAATTCTAAAAAATATAAGTAAGTCAACACAAAAGTACTTTTCAATATAGTCATAAACTTTACTGTCAGCAATTATAGTAAGAGACCCAGAAATTCTCATTTAGAAAGAAACTCTGCATGTATTTCGGAGAGCCAACTCTTCCTTACATGCCAATTTATGGCACAAAGCAGAAGTCAGTCATTGACCTACTTTTTTCACAGCTTTCCGGAAATGTCCCTCAAGACAAACACAAGTTCAAAACTGTTAAGACAGTAGGAAGAAAGCACATCACCAATCTGAGGAATATTTCAATGCATTTACAGTCAAGTGACATTACAAAGATTGGCACGTGTACAAGCTCAAGTTTTTAATGCTTATATAATTCTGAATAGTTGGGAGTAAATTCTACATCTTCTAAATGAGAACACTGAGCACCTGTCCTTTTACTTGAAGGATAGATTGAGTGACAAATTTCTAAGACTTGCTTGATGAATTTTACACTATTAGCTTACAGGTGGGCAGAAGTAACAGTGCTAATCATTTTGGCTATATATTCAGGGAATATAAAAGCTTTGGTTTAAAGTTATTCTGATAATACAGATTGAGAATACAAAGGAGAAGTCATCAGTCACTGATTTAATGCCTTTCCTGTTATTAACAAAAACAGCCTATGACTGTCAATTTGAATGCTTATTTGTGAAAATATAAAGAATTACATAAGAATGTACATAGGCAACAGAAAAAACTTCTTTATGACAGCCGTGACTCATCTCAATTCTCTGAAGCTATATTATGATCACTCTATCACTTAGAAAAGATTCTCCTGATAGCTTATTACTATCTATAGCTCTGAGAAGGAGAGATAGCTGGCACCAATTTTTCCCACACCTATCGTGGCATCCTGACCAGACTGTGGTAGAAGTCAAAGCAAAGCTAAAAACATCTGTGAAGAAGGAACAGTGGCTTCACAACACGCCTTCCCAAGCCAACCAAAAAGAGGTTATGAGACAATTTCCTTCAGAACACTCAACTGATAAGCAAAGAAACTTATTTTAGTAATGTCTGGCAGAATTTCTATTCCAAAGAGTTCATGAAGAACTAAGCAAAAATCAATTAGTTTCTACTTAAGAATTATATATAAGCTCACTATTGTACACACATACAAGTTCGATTTTAATCTATTTTATTAACCAAGGGGCTTGGCAATTTACAATAAATGCCTTTATTAAACAATCACTTGTACTAACTACTTGTGGAAAATGTGCTAGCAATCCTATCTGAGGAGGATGATACTCATCCATCATCAGTAGGTCACACACATTTGAGGTGTTCTTGCAAGAACAGTCTAATCTAATTGAACATTCATACCTTTCCTTTTTTTCCCCCCATCCCTGCCCCACTATACACAGACACACACACACACACAAACACACACACACACACAATTCACAGAAAAACAAGTTAGAATTTTAGTTAAAATGTTAGTTAGAAAGTAAGGATTAGAATTTGCTATCCCTGGATTTATTTCTTGCTCAATGTTCTAAATCTCACTGCTTTAACCTTTATGAATCAGTTAACATACTTAGGGCAAAAAAAAAACCCCAAAAAAACATTCTAGGTCAGTTATAAAATCATAACTGGATCTCAATATACAATGAATTTGGAAAATGCCAATGTGATTGAAAATCAAGTAATCAACATGGAAACAACTGTCTATGTCTCTTTAGAATTAGAATACCTCTTTCTTAGGTTTATCTTAGGAAATCACATTTATTGGAGACTGCAATGTGTCTATTACAGACTAATTCTAATGTTTCTCTTCTAACACAAAGAAAAAAAGAGGTAGAAAAGGATAAGAGGAGGAAACAGGTATTAAGAAATGTTTAAGGGGCAATACACGAATGTATAAGGCCAAAGGAACTCTTGAAGTCTACTGGTTTTGGAAAATTCTTCATTTTGGCAGGTAATATGAATTGATATTAATACAAAATAAATTTAAGGCATACAGAGAAAAAGGCACTACCAAAACTTAACAATTAAATTTCTTTTTGTTAATATTTAACCAATTTATAATTAAAATACGAAGATTACATTTTTAATAAAGGTCAAACTTAGCGATCAATTAAGGTCTCAAGAACTGTCCTGATTTTTGCTTAAATAACACTTTTATAGAGTTCAATGACTATCAATGTTTTGATTATTTTAACAATTTGGACCAACAGAAAAGAAAAAAGCAGGGAAAAAACCCTCCCCCAATCACCAAACTATTTGAGCAGATGCTGGATTTTGTAAGAGAGAGTCCTGAGAAAGAGAGAGAAAGACTATGGGGGTACTCCAATGTGGGGATACTTTTAATCCCTGTTAATAATAACATTTTGGTTTATGTAAGCCAATAATCATCCCAAATTGCTTTCCCCTTACTTCCTAACTAGCTGCCTATGTTTCCACCTAGATTGCAACCTCCTTAAGGATAATTTAATTTAGTACCTTATACAATAATTCACAATTAATGAACAAATGAAAAAGATTTACCATATTAAGAAAAGAGTTACATTCCTATACTTGATTGATACCAGGTGATTTATATCAAACTATTAGTCCCTAGACCCCAAATGAAATCACTGGCACAAAACTTGCTGTGGGCCAAGGTTTTTGGTTTGTCATCTCTATAAAAAATCTATTATTTTTTTTCAATGATTTCACATATCTTCTAACAACCCGTCTCAGAAAGTAAGGGTTGAAGCAAACAAAAGTCATTAAATTATCTTTTCAATGTAGTTTTGGTTGGCAATAAGATAAAAACTCTCAAGTGAAAGCCAATTCAATTTATTCTGAAATAAGTTGTAACTATTTTTTTAGAGTTCAGTATGTGTGTACTAACATTTCAATCTCTTAAGTAAATTTTGTTAAGACTGACTGTGCCTTGAAATCTGTAGTCATTTTTCAAGTAAGTTAAAATCTATAGTCATTTTTCATAAATGAGTAAGTTAAAAAGTTCTTTTCAGTCATTTTATTGTACACATTTCAGCCTATGTACTTTTAAATAAATTTTAAAGAATTACCAACCATAAAATTATTCAGTCATTATATTATTCAACCCTTTTATTCAATACATTGTGTTTGCAATGTGATAGATCTGACATTGGTCCAAGCCTAAATCATGCCATTGAATCTTTCAAGGTCTAAGTAGAAAGACAGTTCCTGAAAAGCACATGTAAGACTGCTAGTGAATCTTCTCCAGCACCAAAAAGTCTGCCACTATCAAAGCAGAATGCATTTTAAAGGCACAAAGTCAGCAGTCTGGCCATTTTCCAGCCTCAGCAAAGAAACATTACAGTATAGAAGAATCATTTGTGCATTTAAAAAAACAAAACACATTTAGAGTCATAAAAATTTCAAATTCCATTTGCTGATCCATACCATTACTAGAAAAAAAAATGGAGCATTTTATTTAACTGCTCCTGAAGAAGTGTTTCCTTTCAAATTTTCTTTTTGAAATTTACTTTTGATCTCCCATACCCCATCTCATGTCAAGCTTTTTTTGTTCTTGTAGTTTTTAAATATATTAACTTTTATTGAGTTTTTTTGGTACCTTCACAACTTGTTTGAAATAAATTCACATCATTTATATAATAACTCTGTAAACTATTAGTCTATTTTTTAAGTCTTTACATAAAGAACAATACTTTCCCATAGCTAATAATATTTTCATATAAAACAAAGGTCTTCTGTAGCAGTGTTAAAGTAGTAGTTTCTTGTCAGGTGATTTTATTTTCTATAGTATTTAGAAAACTAAAAAAGACTGAACAAGCAAACAATTTTGATCTGAGTTTCAGTCTTCTCAAGATTTCTCTCTAAAGAGCACTGTCTCATATTCTGCATTGATGGTTACCCTGACAGACCAAAAATGAGCCAAATGAGAATCACAACCACAAAAGGCAAAGCACAATCTCACTTGGCCCACACACTATGATCTTGCTCAAGTAAGAAGAGATGCGCTCACTCATAAAAAAAAAAAATTATAATAGATCCATACCCTTGGGAATTAAGTGTATAGCCACAAGATTTAGCTGTTACTTTTTTGGGGGGGAGGGGAAACTAATTCATATTCTCCTTGCCAGCTACTTCCTTTGATTATAAAGGTATGGGAGAAGTTTTAACTACTATATTTGTCCTTTAACTTCTCAGACTAGCTAGTGGAATTTCAAATATTCCTACTGGGAATGCCAGATAGGACCTTGATACAGTAAACCAAGATCTATCTAACTTAAGAAACAAGTATTTTTAAGAGTCCCTAAAAGAGCATACCTTTTAGCAGAAAATAAAAATATTTCAAGTGCCTTATGAGTTCCATGAAAGGTATCACATTTAGGGCCTTCAGGAAGACTACTATTTTGTAGACCTTTAAAAATAAAGTACTTAGCACTTGCATTAATATGCTGAAAAAACTGCAAGTGGCCAAATTTCTGCTATCATTCCTGTTTTTGGTAGCATAATTTCACTAGAGATTCCATGGGAATGGACTTTCCCAGCTGCTTCCTTTTGTTTTATTTCCTACCTGTTAATAAGTACACAACAGAAATACATGGCAGTTTTTTTTTTAACTTCTTATACAGTAGTTAATACTTTTGCTTTGACATGGTTTTCCTCTATTATGAATTAATTCGCGGAAATAAGAGACAGATGACTCAGTTAAACAGGCTCCATATGTTTAAATTCATTTTGTTTCTAAAATTGGACGCAATCTGCAGTTGGGTAAGGAAAGGAGTGCTATTTGCTGTCTAATTGAGATCATTCACCCTTGACTTGAAGCCATGGATGCTCTTAGGAAACCTTCACTCTGATTAGTTCACTTTCTGTCTGAAATTTAATTTTGCTAGAAACCTGATTTTTAAATGGTTGTTACTTTAAAAGTTAGGGCTGGTATTTACAAAAGGGGTATTCAATTTTGGCACTTTCGACATTTTGGGCAAAATAATTTTGGGGGGAAGGGAATTGTCCTTATATATCATAGTTTGTTAGCAGCATCTTGGCCTCTATCCACCAGAGCCCAAAGAACATCTTCCTAGCTGTGACAAACAAAATGTCTCCAGACATTGCCAAATGCCAAGTGAAACCTCCCCAGTCTGCCCTGGAAAACCAATGCTTTACATGATACCTGTTTTAAGAGGTGCCTTAGTATTCTGTGATCTCAAGAATAAGGGTTTTACCTAACAAACTAACTTTGAGACACGGATACTCTGGATGATATTCTTAGTTCCTAGAGAATGTTATCTATGGGAAACAGGGAACCACAAATAGTAAGATAGTATACATGATTTTTATTACTTCTCCTTTTTCTTCACTTTGGGAAATCTCCCCTCAATTACAGAACATAATTTAAAGCATACTAAATAATACTTGGTTCTTTATTTTTTCCCACTTTTTTTTTTTTTGCAGACTAGAAAATGTGGTCTCTTTCACTGCTCATAATTAGAGCAATTATCTTTGATTTTTAAATTGGATTCATTTGCTCAATGATCTGCTTTAACATAAAGTAATATACATATATATTTAAAGCAGAAAGCTATCCCTCAAGGTTTACAGGTTCCAGTAACATGGATCTATTATAGTGTATTTGCTTATTATACTGTAGGATTAACAAACATACCTCTTAAAGGTTTATATTTTCTATCAAGATTCCTACTGAGCAAAAAGCTTGGTAGACAGAGGTTAGAATCTAAAGAATATAGATATAAGAATGAACCTATATTCTTTAAGTTGAGTACCTACCCTAAACTCAAGTTTAGGGTTCAACCCCACATACAAGGATGTACTTTAAATACTATCACTAAAAACTACAAATTATACACCATTTCTCCTTGTTTTCCTTGTCTCCCTGTCACCACCAATCTGTTGTGCTACAGGGAAAGAGGCTATACAATCTTTAAGTATCCCAAATGATCTGTTTATACTACAAAGAGCGACTATGTACTAAAGTGCTTTATCTCTCTGAACCAAATCAGTACATTATAAAAATTAAAAAAAAAAAAGTTTCAAGTTCTTTTAAGGAAAAAAAAAAGATTAAATATAAAAAATTTAGGTTACTATTATTATTAAACAAATTTAACCAATAATCAAGAGAAATACTTTCCCTCTTGTCTTTTTTTCTCCCCATCTCTCTTTTTATAAAAAAGAAAAGTGCAGTCAGAGAGAAGGTGAATGAACAGATGGGAGCTGAGTAGAGGCACAAGAGAAGTTACTGGCTGCTAGTGATAATGCACAAACATGTGCCTTAAGAGTTCATCGGCTGAAGGTCTCAATTTGGCCTCTACAAAGATCCGTTTGAGAAAATCTCGAGTATAGTCTGAAACATGAGGTGGCAGCTTTGGGTTTGTTGGCTGAGTGGCAATCTTAAAGATGGCAGCCATTGCTTCAAATTCTGCCCAAGGAGGCTTTTCAGTTAGCATTTCTACCACAGTACACGCCACACTCCTAAAAAGAAAAAATTTAAATATATTACAAACACAGTGTCTTAATAATAATACAAAATAAAGAGAAATAAAATCTACATATATTTAAATACAATTGACTTCTAGTTCAAAGTTTCATTGAAAAGTATTAATTCTACAATTCTAGTTTCAATATAAAAATCAATGAAAATAAACACAATTTAAGGCTAGACTCAAATGGTAAGGCAAAGAATATTATTCACCAAATAATTTCTGCTTTATAGAATTTTGACATTTTTATCTTTATCTTATTACTTAATTTGATCTTTATCTTATTAGTTATTGCATCAGAAACTGTCTCTAGCAATGTAAAATTACTATTAAAAACTTTTCTGAATAAGAAGTAGGAAATATTCACTGTGTGTTCAACTATAAACTGTTAAACAAGGATTTAAAACTAAATTATAATCCCACCAATGGCCATGATCCAGGGACTCATTATAAATCTCTCTGGAGAGAGCATAAAATGACATGCCATAGCCTTGGAGAAATACAACAATCTTCACACACTTTCCTCTAAGGCAAGTTTTTTGGATCATTTTCAGCGGCTTATTCATAACAAACAATACAAAATAAATTATTTTGGTTTTGCTCTGGGGTTGGGGTTGGGGATGGAATCATCTAAAATATGGTAGTGGGAAGGTGTAATGGTGGTGGGACTGGTGTTTGAATATTAAATGCAATCAATTATTGTGAACTACTTTATAAAAATAAAATTTAAAAAAACCCTAAATTATAAGAAACTAGCAGTGGGGGCCAGAGAGATAGCACAGCAAGTAGGGTGATTGCCTTATACACAGCTGAGCTGGGTTGGATCCCTGGCATCCCATATGGCTCCCTGACCACTATCTGGAGTGACTCCTGAGTGCAAAGCCAGGCGTAACCCCCCGAGTATCAAGTGTGCTCCACTCCCTCGCCCCCCCAAAAGAAAGAAACTAGCAATAAAGATTAATTACTTTTAAAGTTCTTCAGGAAAAAAAAGATACCAATCTAATCTGAAGTTTGCTTAAGACTAAATCCTTCCTATAGAATTAAAGACAGTTGAAAAAAAAAGAGAGAAAAAAAAGACAATTTAAGGATTCTATTAGTCAATTCTAAGTCTCAAAGAGGCATAAGTACAATAATATCCTACAATTCTGACTTTTTTGTGGGGAGGGTTGCTCAAGGCTTACATCTAGCTCTGCACTCAGGAATCACTCCTGGTGGGGCTCAGGGGACCATTCCTGGTGATGAGAATCTGGTCAGTCACATCCAAGACAAAAGGCCTTACCCTCTGGCTCTAGCCTATAGCTCTAGTCCCCGGGGGCTTTATATTTGAAATGTACAAAAGACAATTTAAATCCTGCTCAGAAAATTCTAGCTGGGATGAAAATATCTAAGAAAACAGATTGTATTCAGGAAAATATGCCATCAAAACCTACCAGATATCTGCTTTTCTACCATAGCCTTCTCCACTAATCACTTCAGGGCTCATCCAGTATGGTGTGCCTGTGACAGACTTCATTCCTGTTCCTGAAAGGCAGATGGTTTGTAGTCTCTTGCTGGCCCCAAAATCTCCAAGTTTGACGTTACCTGTTGAATCTCGCAGAATATTTGCACCTAAATAAATAACAAATATCCTCTTTTTATTATTTTATTGGTAGGTTGGAATATAATAAAAAGAAATAGCAGAGATATTTAGCTCACTCTCCATCTCCAAAATTAGGCTGTTTTTCATCTTTTGAGTAGCCTATAACATATGCCATGCACATAGTAAGTGCTCATTACCAAATGGACACAATGTTTAAAGCCAATTGTGTGTGCTTCAAGATCTAAGAAGGTTCTGCCACTAAAAAGAACAATTTTGAGTGGGAGGTAAGGATGAAAAAGAAAAAGTGGTCTTAAAAACTAAGGTTCTGAAACTCAATGAAGAATCAAAAAAGTAAAAAGCTGAATCAAAGTTCTAATTTCTTTGTCATCAAGCAGAAAGTCCATAGCAGAAACTTAATTCCCTGAGAAATCAATTTCTCCTTAGGTACTTCCTGAAAATTTTTCTGATCCATAACTTCTAGCCCTTTTCTTTGCTTCTACAGCTTAATGTTATCTAACATTTCATAATTCTTAATAGTGAGTTTTGCTTTCTATTTTCCTTCTCAACAGATACACACACACACACACACATACACACACACACACACACACACACACACAGAGTAAATCTGTTCTATGCAAGCTTTGAGTTGATTTTTAATTTTACTTTGTCTCCCTCCCTTTCTTTCCTAAAACCCAGGTCTTCACATGCAGCAAGGCAGGTGCTAGTTTTAGTTTACCATTGAATTACATACCTGGTTCCTACTTAATTTTTATAATAAATTTATTATTATTTTTTGAGAACCAACAACAAATGAATATAAAGGATAGTAGAAAAAAATAGTAAAAAACAGAGCAAGAATCAGTGATATAGAGACCAAGAAAGCAATACAAAGAATTCATAAAACCAGGAGCTGGTTCTTTGAAAGAATAAACAAGACAAACCATTGGCTATATTCATTAGGGAAAAAAGAGAGAAAATGCTCAAAATGATCAGAAATGAAAGGGGAAACTGCAACAAAACTCCCAGAAATACAAGACATCATGAGAACTTACTAAGAATAAATCTGAATCTACTCTATTAAGCTGAGAACCTAGAATATATGGATAGATTCCTAGAAACATATCTCCCAGAACTGAATGAGAAAGTAGAAAGCCTGAAACAGCTAATCACAAGCATGGAAATTAAAATAGTAATTAAAATCTCCCCAAGAATAAAAGTTCTGGCCCAGCTGGGTTTATAGGTGAGTTTTATTAAACCTTCAGAGAAAACTTACTGCCACTGATCCTTAAGCTCTTGCAAAAGAGCTTAAGAAACAGGAATTCTTCCTAACACATTCTATGAAGCTAACATTACACTGATATCCAAAGCTGAAAGAAATACTACCAAAAAAAGAAACAAAATTTCAGACCAATCTTTTCAATTAACACCAATGCAAAAATCTTCAACAAAATCTTAGCAAACTGAATACTACAGCACATAAAAAAATCACATATCATGATTAAGTGGGATTCAAGGAGGATTCAAGGATGGTTCAATATATAGAAATCAATTAACATAACACCATATCAGTAAAAAGAAAGATAAAAATCATATGACCATATCAAACTATGAAGAAAAACCCTTTAACAAGATCCAATACACATTCAGAACAAAAACTCTCAATAAAACTAAAATGAAAAAAACCTACCTCAAGATAATAATAGATATCTATTAAAAAAAAAAGCCCATAGCCAGTATTATTCTTAGTGGTGAAAAACTGAAAGCATTCCTGCTGAGACTAGACACAGGTAAGGATGTCCACTGTCTGCACTCTGAAGTCTTAGCAATAACAATCAGGCAAGAAAAGAAAAATCAAAGGGATTCAAACTGGAAAAGAAGAAATCTAATTATCTCTATTTGCAGAAGACATGATGATATACATCAAAGACCCTAGAGAGTCCATTAAAAAAGCTCCTAGGAAACAATAAACCAGTAACAGCCAAGTGGTCAATTTGTACAGTCAATGCACAAAAAATATGTTGCATTCCTATATACAAATAACCAGAGGAAAAAGAGATCAAAGAATCTATTCCACTTACAACAGTGTACAAAAACATCAAGTACCTAGGAATCAACTTAACAAAAGTAGTAAGAGACCTAGGCCACAAAAACTTCAAGACACTTAAGAAAGAAACTGAAGACCTTAGGAAATGGAAAAACACTCTGCCCATGGATTGGAAGAATCAGCTAAAATGACCATCCTCGGGGGTATGGTGCTGCCAGCAGGTCAACCTGTACCTGCGGGGCGAATGCATCAGCAGCCTTATGGTGCCTTCAGACTTCCAGATACCCCAAAATTGCTGCTGTGCCTCTGGCCAGACACCAACAACTTGGGGCCAAGTTTACGAAGAAATTAAACAGCCAAAAGTATGTGGGAGCCACACCCACAAACCACCCCCAGCTCAGCTATATAAGCTCATTTATTGGCTTTATTTAAGAGACCCATAAATCTCCAAAGAGATCAAAAGACACAGGGCTAGTAGCACAGAGATAGGCGGGAAACCTGACTGAGATCCCCAAGCCCGCTTGGATCAGAAGTGGGCCTCCTCCCTTTAGGTCCCCAGTTTTCCACTAGCTTGGCAGTCGCACCCACAAACTGCCCCCAGCGCCATGTAATCTCATCAACGGCCAAGTCCCAGAGATCATAAACTAAAGCTCCCAGAAGAGAATGACACATAATTTCCTGGACATTATATTCTATCCATAACAAGCAATACAAAACAAACCATCTAGCACTGCCTTTTCTGCAGTTTTGAGTGGTGGTGGAACTAGTGTTGGGAATATCGAATGTAACCAAGGTTGAGAGAGAGTATGGGGGGAATTGTCTGCCACACAGGTAGGGGAAGGGTTGGAACGGGGTTGGGGGATACTGGGGATTTTGGTGGTGGAAAATGTGCACTGGTGAAGGGATGGGGGTTTGATGATTGTATGACTGAAGCTCAAATATGAAAGCCTTGTAAATGATTCTCACAGTGAATCAATAAAAAGGGGGAAAAACAATAGCTGGAGCGATAGCACAGCGGGTAGGGCGTTTGCCTTACAAGCGGCCAACATGGCCGACCCGAGTTCGATTCCTCCGCCCCTCTCGGAGAGCCCGGCAAGCTACCGAGAGTATTCAATATGCCAAACACAGTAACAACAGGGTCTCCAATGGAGACGTTACTGGGCCCGCTCGAGCAAATAATAAAATAATAAAATAAAATTAACATTCTGAATGAAAAAAGTAATGTGGAGTTAATGCCCAATTCAATCAGCTTAATCAATGGCTGAATAAATAGCGGTACTCCTACATTAAAATAAATTATAAATAAAAATTTAAAAAAAAACAACCAAAAAAACCAAAATGACCATTCTACTTAAATTACTATATAAATTCAATGCAATCCCTTTCTAATTCAGACAACATTCTTCAAGGACTCAGAATAGTCAATTACAGTTTTATGGAATCATAAAAGATGCCGGACAGCCAAAACATACTGAAAAAAGAGAAAATGAGAGGGGCCGGAGAAATAACACAGTGGATAAGATGCTTGCCTTGCATATAACCAACCCGGGTTTTATCCCTGGCATCCCATATGGTCCCCTGGGCACAGTCAGGAGGGATTCCTGAATGCAGAGGCAAGAGCAACCCCTGTACATCAGGTACTAGAACAAAGAAAGACTAACTAATGGGTTAAAAAAAAAAACAAGATCAAGACACTATAGTTATTACTTTATTTACTCTTTTTTATCCCTTTATTTTAAAAATTTTTAAGAAATATTAAAATTTTTTTTCAGTACTAAGGATCAAACCCATGACCTCATATTAAAGGCACATACTCTATGAGTGAGCTGTATCCCTTTGTTATTTTTAAACTCAATATTATTTCTGGGATTATAAATCTAAATTCTGTAACATAATTATTTCTTTTTTTAAAAGTTAACATTTTATTTATTTTAATTATTATTTTATTTTAATGAATCACCATGAGATACAGACTTACAAACTTTCGTGCTTACCATATAATTCTTTCTTTTTTTTTTTTTTGCCTTTTGGGTCACACCCAGCAATGCTCAGGGGGTCACTCCATATAATTATTTCTATTCTTATTTTTAGCTTTCCAAATCTCTACCTTTTAAAAAATAAGCAACTTATTAAATTTTTGAAAAAGATTTTTGATTTTAGGTAATAGAATGTAAGTTACAGAACACTGAGTCAGTGAAATATTTTTCTACAATATTTTAAAGTTTATTAAATGTTAAATGTCTTAATGATATTACTTGTTTCATTATACTCATGCAAAATTATATTAAAAAACTCCAGTTTGTTTTTTGTTTGGGAGCTACACCCAGTGAAGCTTGGGAGTGACTGCAGGCTCTGCTCTCAGGGATCATTCCTGGTGATACATGGGGGATGAAGCCAGGCAGCCACATGTAAGACAAGTGCCCTACCTGCTTTACTATCTCTCCAGCTCCTCAAAAACTACTTTTAAATCTTGAACCAGAGATTACAAAGTAGGTAAGAGAGTACAGGTTGCATGTGTAGGAATTCTAGTTCAATCTCCAGGACTACACATTTCCCTCAGCACTGCCAGGGGTCAGTCCTGAGCACAGAGCCAAAACAAATCCCTGAGCATGGTCAAATGTGGTCCAAAAGCTTCCTCGCAAAATAAAAAATTAAAAAAAAATCTCATTACCTTTGATATCTCTATGAACAATCATATTACTGTGCAAATAATGAACGCCCTCCAGAATCTGACGTGTGTATTTTCTAGTCACATTTTCAGTAAGAGCTCCATATGCTTTTAATTGGTCCTTAATTGAGCCCTAAAATAAAGCAATGATATTATTTGAAATAAAAAACACTAACAATCTTATATATCAAACAATCCTAAATCATGTCTAGAAAGAAAAGAGATTTTAGAGATCACAGGTAAATACATTTCTATGCCATTCAACACAAAATTCTACTACATTCCCTGGCTCTTAACTGTGAAGTATATATCATAGCTACAGAAGCATTTATAACTAATTTTGACTCATAATGTCCTTATTTCTACCACTGTATTGATTCTATCTCCTATTCCTTACAACCACATTTTTTTCTAAAAAAAATTCTCAGGTACTTTCTTAAATCTTGCTTCCCTTTTTGCCTTGGATATATTTTTGTTTTTCCTATATGCTCTTCTACATATGTTTTATCTCAAGTTTTTCTTTATGTTTGCAAAACAGTAATTGGTAGGTATTTTCTAAGCTACGTCTAAGGAAAAACGACTACAATTAGAAAATCAGAACACCTGTGAGATTTTAAGGTTTTTTCCCTTAACTCAGCGTTCTACTTCAAAATCATTGTATCACTGTATCACTGTCATCCTATTGTTCATCGATTTGCTCAAGCGGGCAGCAGTAATGTCTCCATTTGTTCCAGTCCTGAGATTTTAGCAGCCTCTCCTTACTTGTCCTTCCCAACAGTGCCATGTTGGAGGCTCTTTCAGAATCAGGGGAATGAGACCCATTATTGTTACTGTTTTTGGCATATCAAATATGCCACGGGGAGTTTGCCAGGCTCTGCCGTGATACTTTCAAATAGAAGAAGATATATTTAAAAGGAATTTCAGGACCAGGGTGGGGTAGTTCAATGGGCAGGGAGGGGTGCATGCTTTGAAAGCAGAAGTCCTAGGTTTGATCCTTGGAATTGCATGGTACCCCTGAACACTGCTAAGAGAAAGCCCTTAGCACTGGGCTAGGAGTAGCCCCTGAGCACTGCTGGGTGTCACTGTAACGGGGGATCCAACATAGGACCTCACTCATGACAAGCAAATGCACTACTGCTGAGCTACATCCGTGACATAAAAAGGATTTTTTTGGTGAGAAATGTGTAGTTTTGGGTGATACCAGGCAGTACTAAGAAGAAGCTACACCAGGCTTGATGTTTGTGGAAACATGAAGTGCCAAGGATTGAACTGGGAACTTCCACTTAAACACTTTAAGCTATTTCCCTTGTCCCCTAATGGGGATATTTTTATAAAACCAATTTACATTACCAATAAAATATCTGAAAATAAAAATGTAGCAGTTATAAAAGATGGTGTGACTATAAACATTATGATTAGAAACAAAGTTAAATTTGAGTTGCTTTCTGAAACTATTAAAAATACATAATAGTGATCCAGTTTAATTCAAACCTTTAAGTTCAACCTCATACATTCACATATAATTCTAATGAACAACTTCTTTGAAAACTCATAAATCCAGGACTGGAGAGAGCATAGTTGGTAAGGTGCTTGCTTGCCTTGCATGAAGCTAACCCTGATTCGATCCCTAGCACCACCACAAGCACCACCAGGAGTGATTCCTGAGCACAGAGCTAGGAGTAATCCCTGAACATCACTGCGTGTGAACCCAGAGTCAAATTAATACTCATAAACCCAAACTTTCCCCCAAATGTTATTTCTATTGTTACGGGAATGTGTTTTTAAAAACTGATTAATTATATACTTCCATGCTGAAAATCATTAGGATCAGAATGTACTGTATAAATAGTAAAAGTAACAAAGAAAGAACAAGAATTTGCAAATCATTTTTCAACCTCTAGTTAAATTATTAACTCAGGCAATAATTACCAAGCTGAATTTAAAATGTTATGAAGATGCTTGAAAACAAACTAGATATTCATTCATTTGTCACCAATTATTTTCTGGATTTCAGGAAAAAACTAAACCTTTATATGGAAGATCTAGTATACTGATCATCCTAATCTGAAGTCAATCTCAGCATCACTAAGTGAAATAATCAGAAATTGCATTGCATGTCCCCTACAACATACCATGTATGCTTCATTCTAATTTAAAATGCTGGAAAGATTCGGAGTACATGCTTTGCATGCAGGAGGTTCCCGCTTGATCCCCAGTACAACACAGTCCCCCAGCACTGCAAAAAGCAAGCCCCAAGAACCAAGCTGAAAGTATAACCCTAATACCACTGGGTGTGGCTCCCAAACCAACAATAACAAAAAAATTGCTGGAAAAAAAAATCCAATAATAACAAAAAAAACTGCTGAAAAAAAAAAAACTAAAGATGTTGAATTGATGTTGAATTTGAATCTAGTTAAGAATTTATATTCCACTCGGAGCTGATAAGGAAACAAATTAAACACCATGAGGCTGCAATTTGAGGAATTTATGAGATGATATTGTCAACAGACAGAAACATTCTGTTCTCTATTAAACCTGTATGTAAAAGCTGACTATGCTAAGACGACCAGGGAGATAGCTCAAAGGACTACCAACTATGCTCATTCTCATCATCTGTGATGCATTCTAATTAAAAGGGGAATAGTGGCAAAATAACGTATAGTCCTGAATTGAGGAATGGTATGACACTTTTGGGCACTTAAAGTAATATGAATACATTCTGCTATGACATCTGTAATTTATGTTAATATAATCCAGTATTTAAAAAATTAGCACTGTAGCACTGTCCTCCCGTTGTTCATCGATTTGCTCGAGCAAGCACCAGTAACGTCTCCATTGTGAGACTTGTTACTATGTCTGGCATATCGAATATGCCACGAGTAGCTTGCCAGGCTCTGGCATGTGGGCAGGATACTCTTGGTAGCTTGCCGGGCTCTCCGAGAGGGGCAGAGGAATCCAATCTGGGTTGGCCGCATTCAAGGCAAATACGCTACCCACTGTGCTATTGCTTCAGCCCATTTAAAAAAATAGTTAAAAAAAAAATCAGGGGCTGGAGCTATAGCACCGCGGGTAGGGCGTTTGCCTTGCACACAGCTGACCCGGGTTCAATTCCCAGCATCCCATATGGTCCCTCAAGCACCGCCAGGAGTGATTCCTGAGTGCAGAGCCAGGAGTAACCCCTGAGCATCGGCTGGGTGTGACCCAAAAAGCAAAAAAAATAAAAAAAAAAATCAAAGGATATGGGCCAGGAAGATACTGCCATTTTGGTGCATGCAAGGCATGTGCCCAACCCCAGTTCAATTTCTAGTCCATGGTACCACATGTCCCCCTGAACATTGTTAGGTAAAGCCCTGGAGGTTTCAGAACACTACCAGGTTGGTCCGAGCACTGAACCACTGGCTCAACCAGGTGAGAATTGGGGAGAACGGCCAAAAGATGCCTGAGTATACCTTACACACACCCAACCCCCACCAAAATGCAAAGATAAATAAAGAAAAATAAATTTTACACTACTCAACTCTAACTTAAAACTCTTCCCAAAGTCCTAGCTAACTTGGGTTACCATTTTATGATCCAAATTTTTTAATTTTCTCACTAAGATTTTAAGTAGAGATAGGTCTATTTTCAAAGAATATATTAACTTACCCCTGGCATATATTCCATAAATATGGAAAGGGTTTTTTCTTGGGGATCCCTCAAACAGCCATAATACTGAACAATTCGTTCATGCAGCAAGTTTTTCAGCAACTGAATTTCACATTCAAGTGCATTTACTTCCTGAAAGACATAACTCACTGTTAATATATTACTGTATATTAACTATAAATATAATTACTATAAATCCTCTAATTTCAGGGACCACCAAGATGATTTCATTTTGAAATTTGTAGTTCCCAAGTAATAAAAATTTTAAAGTACCACTTCAATAGCAGTACTGAAAGAGAAAATAAATCTATAGTAGAAAGAAAAATGTATCTAATTACCTATTTTGCAAATGATTTGTATTAAGGAAAAACAAAATATTCTATCATGTGTTATAGTTACTGTAATAAAAATGTTTCTTAAAATATGATAAAGTAGTTCATGCAGTGTTTCTTACCTTGCTGGTCTCAGGGCTATCAGGATCAAACTGAACTTGCTTAACAGCCAATTCTCTTCCTGTATCAACATCGTAACAGAGGTAGACCCTACCAAAGGCTCCCTGGCCAAGGAGTTTGCCCAATCTCCAGTTGGTGGGAGCACGAGGTGCTACAAAGGAATGTTTTTTAAAAATGGACTGGTAAGATGGCACACAAACATTTAAGGACTAAACAGGTACACTGCATTAATGACATTCCTAATAGAATATTCTTGAATAAAAGGAAAAATATAATGGCTATTCAAGTTCACATTTTTCAAAAAAATTTCTAGATTAAACTTTCTAGTAATCCTCAACTCAAGCAAGGTTCTTATCCCCATGACTTATTTCTGAATATTAATTTTTCTAATTACAAATACTATAGCATCTTTTATTCAACTTTAGAGGACACTGACAGTATGATAATCCTTATCAAAGTAATATTTGCATTTGGGTTTTCCATCTTTTATGATGTTGAAAACTAGAACATTACTCTCATCGAATGTGAAAAAACCTGGAAGCTATGAGGAAAAATACATTTTCTAGACAGATGAATAAAGAAAAAAATATAGGAAACTTCTCAAATTATAAAAGGTAGAAACAATAGGATATCACTTTAAAATGCTGAAAGAAAAAAAAATTCCTAGAATCTCTATCCAGAAAAACGTTTATCTTTCAAAAATAAAGAAAAAAATCCTTTTCCAGTCAGATAAGCAGAAGCTGAAAGCAATGTATGACCAAAAAGATCTGTATTACAAGATAAAAATTTTCAAGCAAAAGATCTGACAACTTTATTAAAAAGTCTACAGAAACAGAAAAACAGAAAAGGTACGTGTAAAAACCATTCCTTAATTAAACTTAAAAAAAGAGTTGTCTAAAGTAAAAACAGCACTATGCTATGAGGTCATAGATGTAAGCTATGACACATAAAGGAGAAAAATGATAAATATGCAAGAATTGCTACTAAAAACATCTTTGAGCATGCATTCTTCACTTAGTTGATTAAGTCCAAATACTTCACATTCTTGCTTCAGTTACTCTTCTAGTCCTATTCACACTGTTTTAAGTAAGATAGTTCTATTTCGGCCATAAAATAACTTTCTGGACTGTGAGAGAGTATCGGATACATACTTGCATACAACCAAGCCTCATTTGATCCCTGGCACCAGATATGGTATTTTGAGCACCAGACCACAGAGCTAGGATTGACCCTTCATACTGCTAGTTTGCCTAAACCGCCTCCTTACAAAGTAAAACCAATGAACTACTGTCCATTTTTAGAACATGTCAGGGATTCTAACATATGACAGGTGAATTCCTTCTTACATTCATATCTAGAATACTTAATTTACTGTATGCATGTATGCTTTAATTCATTCTCCCTATTAGACTACATCTTAAGAGATCATACTTGAGATTCCAGTGTTAGACACCCAACTAGAATATAAAGAATAACTGACAATAATCTTTCTAATAACAGCAAAGAACCAAAGTAGTTATTAACAGTAATAACTACTCCTATACTTAGATCTGACATTCCAATCATCTTTAGAAATAATGTTTTTGGGGGGTTTTGTCCACATTCAGGTTTATTCCTGACTCTGCCTTCAGTGATCATTCCTGGTGGGCTTGGGTGACAATATGGGGTGCTGGGGATGAAACCTGGATTGCCTGTAAGGCAAGCGTCTTAACCACTTTAATATCTCTCCAGCCCCTAGAAATAACATTTTCATCTTTTTTGAGACGTTGATCTCATCTTGAGAACTGGCTTGGTGTTAATTCATTTCAGTACTATCAAAGTCCGCAAATGCTCTGCTATACATTTCACCATGTCAATTTCTATTACTTACAGCGGCTGGGAGGGCTGATGTCCATTACTGTCAAAGTAGGATTGTCAATGTCACTTCCCCTTCTTCTTATTCGACTATCATCATACTCTGGGGTAAAGATACTGCTTCCACTACTAGTGCTTAAGGAGTGATCAGTAGGACTGAAACTAACAGGAGACCGGAAGCTGGTCCCTTGAGTCCTTCTAGCTCTTGGAAAAGTTTTACGACCTAGAAAATGAAAAAATATTTTGTTGTAGTTTAAAATAAATTTTGTGGCATATAAGAAACAGATACATCCTTCACACCCTACCAAGGTCACAAGTTGCCCCCCACGAGTGGCTCTCCGGCACAGCCATGGCTCCAGAGGCAAAACGACTTAGTCCAGAGCCTGGCAGCTTGCGGCAGAAAAGTGAATGGACCATGCGTTAAACTTCGGAGCCATGCCTCCCCAAGAGGGAAAGGGTGTTGCTCCCTTCCGCCTGCCCCCTCCCCCCGGAAGCAAGGTGGCCGCCACCGCCGCCTCAGAGCTTATAGGAAAGCCAGGTATGAGACAAAGGGCAACTGCAGTCTCATGGGAAGGGGCGCAGTACCGGCTCGTACTTCACGCCCTACCAAGGTCACGAGTTGCCCCCCACAAGCAGCTCTCTGGCACAGCCATAACACCAGACATACAGAAACCAATCTCGTAATTATCTGGCTCTTTGCAGAAATCCAAAATCATTATATGATTCTCATAACCAGCTATAGAAAACAAAGTATTTCACAATGCCTTTTCAGCAATTCTGATTGTTGGGGGGAAATTCTAAACAACAATGGTGCATCTTTTGTCGAAATAATGAATGTAATCAATGTAGAGAAGAGTTAAGCGGAAATCATCTGCCTCACAGGCATTGGAAGGGGTGGGATATATTGGGGTTCTTGGTGGTGAAAAAGAGAGGTGTTTGATCATTGTATGACTGAGACCTAAAACCTGAAAGCTTAGTAACTTTTCCCACAGTGATTCAATAAATAAATATAAGAAGAAAAATAAATAAATATATATATATAAAAGGTGGAGTCAATGCCCAAATCAATCAGCTAATAATCAGTGGCTGAATAGCAGTACTCCTACATAAAAAAAACAAAAAAACACCAGATATATATACTCTGATTAAAAAAACCTGAAAACGCAATGATAAATGATTAAAAGTGTGGTGAAGCATAAGAGTATTATCACTATTATTATTAGTATTGTTATTATTTTTTGGGGGGATAGAGGGTTGCCCAAGATCAAACTCACGGTCTAGAGCATACAAAGAAAGTGCTTCACCTGGATTGCCTGTGTATAAGGCAAGCATCACCTTCCCATTTTGTCAAGAGTAATACTTTTAAGTTCAAGAAATATCCTCATGAGGGATGGGTATTTGATCATTGTATAATCAAAACCCAAGCACAAAAATGTGTAAGTCTGCAACTGTACCTCATGATGTCTCACTATTAAAAATTAAAAAGAAATATTCTCATGAAGTTAAAAATACAAGAGAAAAGGTGAAAGCAAAAATGAAGAGAAAGCTGGGTGGGAAAGATAGAATTTAAATATAAATTTATATAATTTATGTTAAGACGTGCACATATACATAAATATATATAAAATCAAAGAACAAAATTTCCTCACTTTGGGGTAAAAAGGAGAAGAGTATTTTATTCTCATTTTTTATGATTTTAAATCCAAAATAAAATTGCAAAAATTTATTGAGCAACTTTCTTTTTCTTTAAAAAGATGATGGAAGTATGAATTTTATCAAGGAATAATTTCAAATATAATTTTTAATTATTCCATTTCTTCTAAGGGCAAGATTATTATAAGGCAAGTTGGCAAAAAACTATTAGTAGGATTTTAGCTATCATCCAATTTACTTAAAAATATTTTACTTATTTGGCTTTTGGGTCACACCTGATGGTACTCAGGACTTACTCCTGGCTCTGTGCTCAGGGTCACTCCTAGCTAATTTGGAGGACTATATGGGATTCTGGGAATTGAGCCTGGGTCAGCAGCATGCAAGGCAAGTACCTTACCCACTGTACCATCAATCTGGCCCCACATTATAAAACACTCTAAAGCCAAAGTCTATTCTTGTAATTTAAAAAATGTATTTGATTTTACTTAAATACAACTTTTAAAATACTATTTTAACTACTTTGAGATTCTAATTTCAGATACTTACCATCATTATAGTCTTGGTGGTGATAAGAAACATGATACCTTCTTGGGTAGGTTCCTCCTTTTCCAAATTTCTCAAAAATAGGATTATCATAATCTATCAAGACACATAAAAATGTTACATCATGACAAGTGCTTCTGATTAAAAACATATAGATTTTTAATTTTAAAACTTCCCTCTCCCTCCCAAACAATAGTCAATGACATAGACATTTATGTATTTAGGATGTGAAGTCTAACCTGAAAATTCCTGATGATTATCTGGATAGCTCTGTGCTCTAGGCATTCGTGATTTTGGATAACTCTCTCTAAACGTAGAAAGAAAAAGTCATATTAAGACAAAATATATATGGAAGACTATAGAATATTTAAAAATACAATGTGCTCTCAATTTATATATGTGTGCACAGATATATAAGATATGGGTGTGTACCCTTGTGTGTAGCAATTTATTATCTATTGATAGAGGAATTCAGTAACATAACTGAAAAAGAGCAACTTCTTTTTAAGCATTTATTTAGAACTTATGTGAAGGCACAAAGTCAGACTTTTAAAATTAACCCCTAGAGTTTAGTGATAAGAATGATATATTTTTAAAACCAGAACTATTTAGAAACATCTATGTTTTAATGCGAGCTCTGTCACATAACTTGGTGCAACCTTGACAAATCACCTGAGATTTTATACATATATAAAATTTTATACATATATAAAAAAGAGATAACACATTTCCAACTCATCAAGTAATTATGTATTAGAGTGTTCAGTACAGTGTCTTTCAAATATTATGTACTCAATAATTATCTTTCTTATTTCTGTCTCCCAGAATATCTTAAAATGTTTCAGTTGAAGATACTGATTGCCTCCCTTCCGCCCTCCTCCCTCTGGAAAGAAAGATGGCGGCCACATGGGAGCCTTGTGGACAGCAGGTATGAGCCGGGGGTGTGGGGGCGACTAAAACCTCATGGGAAGGGGGGCGTTCTGGTCCGTCCTTCACGCCCTACCGAGGTCACCAGTTGCCCCCCGCGAGCGGCTCTCCAGCACGGCCACGGCCCCAGAAGCACAAGGACTTAATGCAGAACCCAGCAGCTTGGAGCAGAAAAGTGAACGGACTATGCATTGATCCAGGCCATCAAGTCTGCCGGAGGGGAAAGGGTGTTGCCCCATTCGCCCTCTCCTCTCTGGAAAGAAAGATGGCGGCCACATGGGAGCCTTGTGGACAGCAGGTATGAGCCGGGAGTGTGGGGGCGACTAAAACCTCATGGGAAGGGGGGCGTTTCGCTCCGCCCTTCACGCCCTACCGAGGCCACCGGTTGCCCCCCGCGAGCGGCTCTCCAGCACGGCCAGGACTCCAGAACACAGAAACCAATTTCTTAACTATCTGACTTTCAGTAGAAATACTTCCAGGGTCAATAGGTAAAAGAGCAGAAATCCAAAACCAACATTTAATTCTTGAACCCAGCCGTAGAAAGCAAATCACTTCACAATGCTTTTTCAGCATGTCTGATTGGGGGGGGGGGTAAACTCTAAATAATAGTGGTGAATCTTTTATTGAAACAATGAATCTAATCAAAGCAGATAGAGTGTTAACTAGAATTCATCTGCCTCACAGGGACTGGGAGGGGTGGGGGGTGGGGTTTTATTGGGGTTCTTCATGGTAAAAAATAAGTATTGGTAAAGGGAAATGTGTTTGATATTTGCATGACTGAGACATAAACCTGAAAGCTTTGTAACCTTTCCCACAGTGATTCAATAAATTAAAAAAAAAAAAAAAAAAAAAAGAAGATACTGATTGCTACAGATGAACACTGTTCTCCCTGAGGCCAGAAGAGGGAGCACTTGTAACAAAAAATTAACAGCTGCACCATGTTCCTGCTTACATTCACGAACAACCATTTCACAGAACTAAAACACTTAAATTTTAAATGACACCCCAACATCTTTTGCCATAATTTCTAGAATGTGAGTTATTTATAATTTGGTGCCACAATGAACATATTCTGAATAAATGAAACTCAAGAAATCTCTAAAACTAAACATATAATGAAAATTTTGGCGGCAGTTTCATGAATAGTATTAAAAGTAAATGTACATAAAAATGAAGTTCACATTTAACTTCCAAAACAAAATTTTGGCAAACTGGAATACTCAAAATATTACGATCATATATAATTTTAACTAATTAAACTATAGACCCTATAAGATTAAGGGATTCATACTAGCTGAAAAAAAATTGTTTGCCATAAATAGACAAGTATCAACTACATCCCTCTGAGTGTACCACAAAAAGTTAACAATTCAATATACTACATATATGCACATTCCCCAAATATATTAAAAAGCAAAAACTACAATTAGTATTACCCATCCAAAGGACTATCAAGTGATGGACAACTTCCTGAGCCAGAATTTTCAGGGCTACTTAAAGATAATGGGTCCAGCATCTAGAAAAAAAGAAGAGTTCTACCGTGACACGATTTTATGTTACTGGTTGTTGGAAAAACAGCCTTCGTAAAGTACAATTTAGGCAATATAAAATTCACTAGTGCCTATTTCAGTATTAGTTTTCTGAATTGTGGCCCCCCCTATAATCTTACAACATTTTCAGTACCCAACAAAGAAACCCCATATTCAACATTAGTCTCTCCAGAGTAATCCTTTAATTTTTTTCAAATTTTTGTTAAAGAGCCATGATTTTCAACATTACGGATAGTTACATTTTAGGCATATTATAATTCAACACCAATCTCTCCAACAGTGGAGAGTAATCCAATTTTAAATATTTTAAATACAGCTTTTCCTTATCTGAAGGCTATAACTTCAAACGTTCCTAAGAGAAAAATATTCTTCCCTATAGATTAATAAACAATTGAAAAGTATAATATTTCACATAATAATGCTTATTGAAACTGAGTAATTCCCTCTCCTACTCTACAGGAATGAGGCTAATGCCACTCAAAGTAGCTGATGTTATAAAAGATTAATCCATGGAACAGTAGAAGCTATGAAAACAAGCAACTCCATGAAAACACCTCAATATGGTAAAACCTTTTCAAAATTTAAAAGTTATCAAACTGGGACTGGAGAGATAGCACAGCGGGTAGGGCGTTTGCCTTGCACGTGGCCGACCCAGGTTCGACTCCCAGCGTCCCATATGGTCCCCTGAGCACCGCCAGGGTTAATTCCTGAGTGTAGAGCTAGGAGTAGCCCCTGTGTGCATCGCCAGATGTGACCCAAAAAGCAAAAAAAAAGAAAAAGTTGACAAACCACAGTTTTATAGTTAAATTTACTTTTGTAAATGCTAATTCTCATATTACAAATACTACATGCAATCATTTTGAGTGGCAAATTTAAGAAAATTATCCTCATTCCAGATTTATGTGTGAATGAACAAAGCACACACAAATTAGTGAAATTTTCCTATTACTCTTTGTTCACAAAGAAGAAAAATATGAAATTAGAAAAGAAATGAAACATATGTATACACACTCCCATAACTAGATACCTGCCATGAAATATGGGCTCTGATGGAAGCTCTTTAAATAAAATGAAAAAGCACATCCAAGGTTTGCTTACTTGGTCCATGCTCTCTGGAATGAACTCTCCTTCACTGTTGATACTTGTGAATGACCCATTCCGGGCAACCTGGTGTAATTCATCTGGAATGTATCCGGGGGGAGGGGAGCTTCTATCTCTATTAGTGGAAGCTCAAAGGAGAAAAATTACATGTTATCTTTAAATGTATCAGAAGGGAACTAATTTTTTTTATTTAAATATATACAATTTCTGCCTTACAGTACCAATAACTATTTCAGTTATTAAAATTGATCAGAACATTCATATCAGTAAACCTCAAATATTTTTATAGCTTTCTAACCCACCATCCTACTATTAACTTCACTGTAATATTCATAGGTACTTAGGGGGAGTGTTCTTCCAACTGCCAACAACATAAAGAACTAGTAATACTGTAAATATTTTTAGATTAATTCCATTACTTCTGAGCTTCTAGAGGTCATTTGAACCAGGTTTATATTAATGCCAATGTAATTTATGGAAGGCATCATGATATAGGAAAAAGAATACAGGTTTTGGAGTCAGACCTGTTAAAAACCTAGCAGTAGTTACTTGTCAGCTATGTTACTTCAGGAAAGTTATTCAATCTCCATGGACCAGTTTCAGGAACTAAATCTCTCCTTTGTAAAGGTGATAGATAATAAAAATTATTCATCATGAATATATGCTATGAATATTTGACTCTATGATGGTCTTTCCAGTCCTCACCTAAAGAGAAATGACTTCATAGCCATTTAGCCCATATTAGTCTGTTTATAATTTGTGAATTTGCCATTTTATTCCTGGTATGGGTCTTAGTTCTTTTGTGCCAAGTCATATTCCTGGAATTTAATCTTTTTGTAGTTTGGAAAAATCACAGAATTGTAGTTCATTTAATCACATGCTTCTGACATAGCCTATTTAGTGATAATATGATGACGTTATAAAAAAGCAAAGAAATTATTGTCATGCATTCTAATTTGTAAAGCAAATAATGTGTACATTGAAAGAATTCTCTCAATTTATTGCCACATTAATCCCATGATTTATAGAGGACAGTGCTAAGAATATGATTCACTGGTAGAGCATATACATTGCACATAAGGGCTGGATTCTATTCCAGACAGCAGAAAAACAAAATAAACAAAAATAAACTATTTTAAATATAAAGATGAGGGTAAAATTACTGGTATCAGGGTAGAGAGATGGAATTTTAATGTAGGTATCAGTAATATTCTTTACAAAAATTACCAAAAAAAAAAAAAAGTTCCTACATCGGTTATCTTTCATTTACTTGTGTATCATCTCTACTGTTCACTTTTCCAACATTTCTGAAACTAAAAGTAGAATTATAAGAAAGACACCTAGCAAAATGTGGTCATAAAAATAGCGTCTTCTCAAGACCTAAGGAGAAGATAAACAATATATTATTTGGGGTTTTAAGACTATACCTCGCAGTGCCAGGGTCGGGGTGGGAGGGTAACTCTTGGCTCTGTGCTCTCAGGTCACTTTTTCCTCCTGGTGGCACACATTCCATACAAACCTTTGCTTTTGTTATTAACATTCCTCTTTAATCCCCAATCTTTGTTAAGATTCCTGACCACAACTTTTGTTTGGTCCTACTCAGCTGCTTCCTTCCTATTCATATTTCACCTCCTCTTCTACTATCCCCTTTCAAATCCACTTCTATTATTATTATTTAATTAATTAATTTTTAAATAGTAGCACTCCCAGTGATGCTCAGGCCAGTGGTACAGGTGGATTAGCGATTGAGTCCGGCAGTGGTCTGGCTCACCAGAGCCATATCTAGCAGTGCTGGGGAGGCGTGTAGTTGGTATAATAAGATTGAATTCAGGACCTTGAATCCAGGCATGTGCTCTACTACTTACACTGACCTCCTGACCTCTTTGTGCTAATCTTATGCACCATATTCAATGCCTAACTCATATAAAACATTCATACTATGACTTCTGAGCAATGTTAATGCTTTTATCGTATATAAAAAAATGTATATTACCAATTGTTTGACACAAAAGATACACAGAACTGAGGACTCTTGTCTACTCCAATACCTAGCAGGCCTCCTTTAAAAAGTAAAGAATCCCACACAGGATCCATTTTCCTTTTTCTTTTTTTGGGTTTTGGAGCCACAGCTAGCAGTGCTCAGGGCTTACCCCTGTGCTCAGGGAGCACTCCTTGTGGGCTAGAGTCATATGGGATACCAGGGATGGAATCAGCCACATGCAAGCAAGTGCCTTCCACTGTACTAACTATCTCATTTTTCTTAATATCATATGATTAACAATTTAATTAGTGCATATTAAAAACAATAAAGCAAAATCTGAAAGCTCTTAGAAATGTTTATTATAACAGCACTTTTAAAATGACTTTTCAAGAGGTATCAGTTAACTAAGGCATTTGATTAACTGAATTAGAAGGAAGAGTCACACTACTATTTATCTGTTGCTTTTCTACATTTAATGGATGGAGGAGAAGTTGAGAAATTATTTACGAACATGATTCAGACATTAGTTTTCTTACCTATTAGAGAAAGCCATTTTTTTCTTTCTGCTCCAAATACTGTGTTATCCAAATCTTCTAATGATGGCAACGGTTCTAAATTTGTAGCCTGCAAAAGATAAAGAATGATCAATTCTATTTAAACACTCCAAGGCTTTAAACACAATCTCTTCTCTATTGAAGATAAGGCATGTGCCCATCTTATGTCTCCCTGGCCCTCATACATGGGGCTTTTAGAGGCATAAATCCTTTTAATCATATTGAAAATTTTTTTCAATTCTTTACCTGTGTACTTCCGTTTATTACAAGTAATATCTTCAGGCTCTTCATATGAATACTGCGATCCAGCAGTTCCACAGCTTTGTCTAAGTCATCTTGGGTTGTTAATGGAATTACCAACTAAACAGAGAGAAATTTAAAAAACTATAATCATTTTACCAGGTCAATCCCTTCCAGGAGATTCTTTTATTGTGGAATTGTCTCAAATTACTGTGATTTCCAGTATAATAAAATTCTCAATGATTTTATATCTAGATCACTTTGCTCTTTTTATCCTATCATAACCAAAATTAAAGTAAGTAAGAAAGCAAAGGCCCTCCCGTTGATCTTCGATTTGCTCGAGCGGGTCCAGTAACGTCTCCCGAGTTCGATTCCTCCGCCCCTCTCGGAGAGCCCGGCAAGCTACCGAGAGTATCTCACCCTCATAACCAAAATTACAGAATATAAATTTTTGCTATGATAATTTTTATTCTCATCTATAAAACTTAAGTAAATATTAGTTTCCTGTGATAGTTCCTTAGGTAAAGGTAAAGGTAAAGGCCCTCCCGTTGTTCATCGATTTGCTCGAGCGGGCCCAGTAACGCCTCCATTGGAGACTTTGTTGTTACTGTGTTTGGCATATCGAATACGTCACGGGGAGCTTGCCAGGCTCTGCCGTGCGGGCGAGATACTCTTGGTAGCTTGCCCGGCTCTCCGAGAGGGGCAGAGGAATCGAACTCGGGTCGGCCATGTTGGCTGCGTGCAAGGCAAACGCCCTACCTCTGTGCTATCACTCCAACCCATGATAGTTCCTTAGTATTGCTAAACTTAATTTACTACATATATATATGTACATATATATATATCCCCAAACTGCATTAACAAGTACACAAAAATTATATAAAAGTAGGACTACCTTTCATTTGCACTGATGAAACTTACTTATTTATTCACTAGTAACCCAAATTTGCCTTGCATGTAGCTAACCCAGTTTCAATCCCTGGCATCCCATATGGTTCCCCCCCACCCTGCATACCCACCCCCTGCCCCAAGCACTGCCAGGAGTAGTTCTTGAGTGCAGAGACTGGAGTAATTCTTGCTCATTGTCTGATGTGATACCAAAAGTAAAAAAAAAAAATTGTCTGTTCACATGTGCACAGTACCCCAATGTCCAGTGTTCAAGGGCCCACAGTGAATTTACTCTGCTATGAATCAGGACATGGTTAACTCCAAGTATCACAGATTCTCATGATGATGTCTCAGTCGTAAAGAATTTTAAAAAATTTAATTTTACCTTAAGATAACACTAAGGTGATAGCCTTCTCTACCACCTTCCTGACAAGAGGTCACCCAGACATAATGACTGACCACTCGTAGAAATGCTTCATAAATCATGAGAAAAAGTATTTTTTTTCAATCTTAGAAAATGGAGGAGGGTTCCTAAAATTACAGATCAAGTAACGATGTCAATCTTGTAGAAAAAAATTGTATTAGAAGAATTCAGAAAAGAAACAACAATTTTAAATGTTAGATTATGTACAATATGAACAAATTATGTCAAACTAACCTAATTTTTCCTCAACAGACTTACTAGGCTGGTGAATTAAGACAAATCTGTAGTCTTAATACATTTTGGCATTTGAAAGTTTTCTACAATACAATTTTAGGAAAAGTTAAATGAATGGGGCTGGGAGTGTATCTTCATGGCAGATACTTCCCCTGCATGTTTGAGGATCGGCGTTCAATCCCTGGCACTGCACAAAACAAAAGTACCAAAGACACATCTGAGTTCCCCTTCATTCATACTATGAGAGAAAGACACTTATGAGATAAAGTAATGGAATAAGGAAGATAAGAAAGGGAAGGAGACCCAAAATAGACACATTTCCCTGATGGGATAATTGTAGTCCACTGTAGTTACCTATCTATCGTAGCCCATCTATCTTGAGCTACAATTTCCTCACTCACTCCAGTAATATGTACTTCATATACTGTATTTTCATATATATGACTATATATATATACACACATATACACATACACATGTATATATATGTATGTGTATATATATGTGTGTATATGTATACACACACACACACATATATATATATATATATATATATGAAAAACCCTCAGTGTCTTAGGGACTAAAAACTGAAAATGAGGTCAGCACTAACAGAAAAGTAAAAGCCAAGATAGGGCCAGCAGCAAGAAGTGTACATGACTGAAAACTCAAGAAGTAAATGAAAAATAACATTTTAAATATTACTATCTTATAACACAGCGGATAAGGTGTTTGCCTTGCACGCAGCTGACCCGGGATTAATTTGTCCGTCCCTCTTGGAGAGTCGGGCAAGCTACCGAGAGTATCCCACCCGCATGGCAGAACCTGGCAAGAGCCTGGCAAGCTCCTCGTGGCATATTCGACATGCCAAAAACAGTAACAAGTCTTGCAATGGAGATGTTACTGGTGCCCGCTCGAGCAAATCAATGAACAATGGGAGGACAGTGCTATAATGCTACAGTTCTACCATCTTATAATGTTCATTACTTGGGGATACTATTCATTATTCAGGGATACTATTTGGATATAGATTTTTTTTTTTTTTTTTGCTTTTTGGGTCACACCTGGCGATACACAGGGGTTATTCCTGGCTCTGCACTCAGGAGTTACTCCTGGCGGTGCTCAGGGAACCATATGGGATGCTGGAAATCAAACCCGGGTCTATGCATGCAAGGCAAATGCCCTACCCGCTGTGCTATCTCTCCAGCCCCTAGATTTCTTTTTTTTTTTTCCTTTATTTTATTTTATTTTTTTTAAAGTTGTAGATTTACAATTTTTTGTGCTTTGGTTTCAATTATACAATGATCAGATACCCATCCCTCCACCAGTGCCCATTTTCCACCACCATGGATAATATCCCTCCCACCCCCATCCCCCCATCCCCCCGTCTCTGTGGCAGGGCAATCCCCTGTGTTCTCTCTCTCCTTTTGCAGCCCCTAGATTTCTATCTTGAAAAATATTTTTTGCTTTCAGTTGTATGTAGTTACTTTAGAAAATTACACTGAACATATTTTTTGTTTTAAATTAACACTAATGCATCTAAAAATTCAATATTTTTAAATATTTTTATTTACATAGTTTTAATATCTGCAAAGCATTTATATATATTTTCTCAAATTTTCTTAATTTTTATTTAAGCTCTCTTCTCATTCTATTTATCTCCACCGGTACCTCGTTCATTCCTGATATATATGGTTCTTTCCATTTTAGGGATTCTGGATGTATTACTCTCAAGCTATTCTCTCTACCAGGAATAATCTTTCCTCATTTCCTCAAATTCTTTGTATGGCTGGCTCTCCAGTCAAGTCTCAGTGACTAAATGTTGCCAGTAATTATTCCTTAGAGTAGAATACCTACCATCCTTTTTTTATTCTTTATCATAAGACTTCATGCACTTCCTTCTAAAAACTTCACAAATTAAAAAATTCCCAGAGACAGGCTAGGGGGGTGGGGTGGCAGGAGAGAAAGTGGGGTCATTGATGGTGGGAAATGTACACTAGTGTATGGGTGTGTGTTGGAACATCTTATGACTGAAACCTGATCATGAACAGCTTTGTAACTGTGTATGTGATGCAATACAAATTAACAAATAAATAAGTTAATAAATAAAACAACAAAGTTCAAAAAAAATTCACTTATTGTGTTTCTACCATATCTATAAATTCTACGAGGGATATAAATTCAGAAGTTACAGATGATGCCTTGAAAACTCAAGTATTTTCGAGATTAAAAAAAAACAAACAACGAATTAGCCAATTAACTAAAATGTTCAAATTTCAAATTTTATGATTTCAAGATGTTGAGATCTCATACACTCTGAAAGAAACCTCAGAGATAATCTAATGCAATTCAAATTTTACAGAAGGTTCAAAAGTGGTTGCTCAGAACACAAGAGCTCACAATGAACCCTTATGGTCACATATATTGACTGCCAAATATGCATACTGATCTAATCACATCCTAAAATCAACACAAAAGACCCCAATAAGTTTGAATCATGTCTGCCATGGAGGCAGAAGGGGGGCAGGAAAGGGGGGTTATACTGGGGATATTGGTGGTGGGGAATGTGCACTGGTGGAGGGATGGGTGTTTGATCATTGTGTGATTGTAACCCAAACATGAAACCTTATACCTATCTCATGGTGATTCAATAAAATTTAAAAAAATTTTAAAAATAAATAAAAACCTTCTAAAAATGTTTTTGAAATAATAATAATCTGTTTACACGAAAAAAAATTAATTTAAAGTGTTATTATCAAGTACATAGTATGAAAAGATAGTTCATCTATAAACTATACAGAATACTCAATCTTAAAAATAAATATGCTACGTTCCAAAATAAGAACTTTAAATAGTTAGTACGTATATTTACCTCATTATTGGTATAATGCAGGTCCATAGACTGTCCAAAGGCAATTTTAGCTTTAGATCTTAGGTCTTCCAGTTTAACTGGTCTAGGGAACTGAAGGATTCTACATAGACAAAATGGTAAGGTATTTTATCTTCTTAGCCATAGTTAAATGACAAACTAGCAACAATAATCTTGTAGGTATAAAGATAAAAAAAGTAAAACAAATATTCACATTTCTTTAAAACAAATATAGCTCATTTTTAATCACATATACTGTCAACACACAGTTCAAAAACTTTAAAGTTTTTGTCAATTATAACACAGTTATAAAAAGTAGATTCTCAAAATGCTCTTCAGTTTATAATTTGCATGAGAACTATTATGTTGAATATTAAAGAACAAAGAAATTGTTCACAGGAGAAAATGATTATACTTAATTATGGTATCAACTCTATAATGGGATGTAATGAAACTGTTATAAAGTATAATGATCCTTCAGGTATTCAAACTTTTATTTCTGTTCCCTTAAGAATTCAACATTTTTGACTACATATATGTCAACCTCCCCTAACACAGATTTTTAAAGGATTACAATTTTTAATTATATATTCTAAATCTTATATTTTATTTCCATATATCAAAGGACTGGCCTGGCCTGTACTGGTCCTAGGAAGCACAGACCTAAAATTAGAGACTACTAAACTCTTAAGTTCCCCAAGGAAAGGTATCATGTCTACTCTGTTCATGTTATTTCTTCATGACCCATAAAATTAGAGAAAGTATTTAGAAAAAAACGTGTAAATAGGAAAAAGTAAATTAGTTAACACTTGTATATCTGGTATATTCCATTTAACTTCTTTTTTATTTTTTGGTCATACCTGGCAATGCACAGGGGTTACTCCTGGGTTTGCACTCAGGAATTACTCCTGGCAGTGCTCAGGGGACCATATGGGATGCTGGGGATCGAACCCAAGTTGGCCACGTGCAAGGCAAATGACCTGCCCGCTGTACTATCTATCACTCCAGACCCTGGTATATCCCATTTAAAAAAATCTGTGCAAAAAATTTTTACATCTTTGGTTATATGATTTGTGAAAAACTTTTGTTAATGTCCTTAAAATGGATAGCTCTTTCATTTAATTAACGTAATAAGACACTTTATCAGAAACTAAATCCCATCTTCTCTCACTCTTCTTTGGCCTTGTTAGCAATTTTGTAGTCAGTCATTACTATCACTTCTACCACTGCACTGAATACAGGTATCTGATGGAAAGCTAGGTTTATCATTACCAGTTTAAGATTTAAAACTAGCACTCCAATTCACTTTTCTCAATGTTACTAACTGACATATAATTACATGTCATATGATTGATGTCTCAAGAATTATCAAAACTCTATTAAATCCACATAAATAAATTCTGTATAGTATCTGAAGGGACAATAAAATTATAAAAGGAGAAGTACATTTAATCTCCACTGAGTAAAGCTGAAAGAACTGAAAATGTTTAATGGCTAAATTATGTGATCAGCTTATTTACTCTGTATTATTTCAAATAAGAAACGCTAAGTATATCTAATACTTAGCCTGAATTTTGACAGATTCTATCTAAAGTTTCTATTAATATATTACCAAGAACTATTCCATTCTCAATATATTTTTGTTTTGGGTCACATGCAGCTGTGCTCAGGGCTTACTCCAGATTGTTCATTTAGCAATCACTGCTGGCAGGTTCTAGGGACAATATGGGGTGCCAGGGATCAAACCCAGGTCAGCTGCATGCAATGCAAGTGTGCTTCCTATTGTAATATTGCTCCAGACCTCTGTTGCAATCAAGGTAAGCATCCTACCCACTATATTACCTCTCTGGCCCCTCCATTCTTAGTATGGAAGCCCTGAACCTTCAAAATCTTATAGGGGATAAAAATCTTGAATATTTTAATTAGAAACCTTTGATTAAATCAATAACCTGAGACGTAATATTTCTATCCTCACCGTTTTTCTCCTCTGTGTTCAAATTTGACTCGAACATCATTCTGTAATAAGATAATTTCAGATATCAGAAACAATTTCTAATCAATGAAAACTTCTAAAATTATTAAGTCTTATTTAAAAAATGCTTCGTCATTAAAACAGATCAGAGAGTTAATTTTCAGTGTCAACTTCAATCAGTCAGTAGTATCTGTCAAAAAGCTGAGTTGAGAATTATGTTGCTAAATCTGGTTCAATAGGAAAGACGACCATGATCGATTAGTGATGGTATAATGGGTATAAGACATTTGCTAATCCTATTGTAGGAAACAGAGAAAAGCATACTCCTAGTTTTCATGTTAGGTACTGCATATTTGTTGTGATTGTTTTGGGGCCACACCTAGAGGTGCTCAGGGGTTATTTCTGGCTCTGCACTCAGGAATTACTCCTGGTAATTTGGGGGACCATATGGAGTGCCGGGAATTGAACCTAGGTCGGCTGTGTACAAAGCAAGCACCCTACCTGCTCCAGCCCCCGCCAACAAATTACTCTTATTTGCATATATACAGAATAACTTTAAACAAAACTATACTTCTGGAAAAACACAAATACTCCTCATTATTGAAACTGACAAATATATTTTGGAATGTTCAACAGAATGAAATTTATGTAAAAAGGTAAAAGGTAAAGGCCCTCCCGTTGATCGTCGATTTGCTCGAGCGGGCCCAGAAAGGTCTCCATTGGAGACTTTGTTGTTACCGTGTTTGGCATATCGAATACTCTCGGTAGCTTGCCGAGCTCTCCGAGAGGAGCGGAGGAATCAAACTCAGGTCGGCCATGTTGGCCGCTTGTAAGGCGAACGCCCTACCGCTGTGCTATCGCTCCTGGAGTCAAAATTTATGTAGCAAGAAAAAAAGAAAAAAAAATAAACACAATTTGCTTGTTGGGACTGGAGAGGTAGTATAGCAAGTAGGGTGCTTGCCTTGCACATACACAGCTGACGAGGGTTCAATCTCCAAAATCCGACTTGGTGCCTCTAGCTCGCCAAAAGTGATCCCTGAGTCGTGGGTAAGCCCTGAGCACTGCCAGATGCATACCAATAAAACCCCACCAAAAAATATTTTTTACCTTACACGCTTTAAAATGAATAAATTACCAGCTTTAATAATTATAAATAAAATGTAATTTTTAAAACATACACCCTGATAAAAATGTATGACAAAATATTTCAAAATTATAAAAGCTAAACTTTATTTATTTAACTGTTATTATAAACTATATTTATATATCTGTTGGGGTCACCTTTGGTGGTGTTTGGGGGTGATCTTGGAGAATGAACTTGGAGGATCATGTGGTGTCAGAAACTGAACCCAGGCTACCCACAAGAAAAAGCATGCACTTTTGCTCTTTGCACTATCTCCTCAAGCTTTAAACAATTTTTCTGTAAAAATCAAATATCAAAGGAAAATAATACATTTAACAACTATATAGTTATTAAAATTTTGCTGAAACAAATACCTGTTTTTTTGGAGATAAAGATTTTGATTTTCTGGTTTCTTGTAGGGATAATGCTGGTCGACTGGCCTTATGAAGAACAGCCAAATCTTGCATGATTGAATTCAAAGCTTGCTGATCATCTAGATTTGAAAAAAAAACCAACATATAACCAAATAAATAGTATCAGTATCCATTTACCATCAATACATTAAAATTGATAATAATGCAAAAGAAATGCTTCTAAAATACTTCTACTGCCTATGGGCTGGGGGCCACACCTGATGGTACTCAAGGCTTACTCCTGGCTCTGTGCTTAGAGATCACTTCTGGTGCTTTTTAGGGGGCCTTAAATGGTGCCAGAGATAAAACGTTTTTCTCTTTCACCCACATTCTTTTTTTTTCCCTTTATTTTATTTTATTTTATTTTAAGTTGTAGATTTACAATTTTTTGTGCTTTGGTTTCAATTATACAATGATCAGATACCCATCCCTCCACCAGTGCCCATTTTCCACCACCATGGATAATATCCCTCCCACCCCCATCCCCCCATCCCCCCTGTCTCTGTGTCAGGGCAATCCCCTGTGTTCTCTCTCTCCTTTTGGGTGTTATGGTCTGCAATCACCCACATTCTTAAGTGAGATATAAAGAAAAGCTTTATCTCTAAATGGCCTACTAATATTAGGATGTGTTTCCTTAAACCTCTTCACCATAAAATTCAAGATGACTACAAACGTTAAACTATTAAAATTTAATCGAGCCCATAACATTTTAATTTCAAGAAAAATCCAATCCTTAGGGAAAAAATGAACTATCATGAACTTTTAAATATACCAAAAAATTGCTAAGAAATTTTTATGATTTCTGAGAACGATAAGCATTAGCCTGATAGTAACACAAATGATCTGCTTTATGATAGATGGCTTTATGACAGATAAACTTCTAGGGACAATTTCATCAATTCTCAGTAGCAAATCTACTTTACTAATGATAATTAACAAACGGCAAATGAAGAAGTTAAGGGAATAAACAGTTTATATTATAAATACAATTTTTAAATGGTTTTTGTGAGCAATAATCATGTTGTAGGGGAGTACTCATTAAAACATGCATTACCGGGGCTGGAGCTATAGTACAGCGGGGAGGGCGTTTGTCTTGCGCATTTGCCCCGCAAGTTTGCCTTGTACATGGCCAACAGAGAGAGAAAAGCTCAGAGATCTGAGAGTCTGATCAACAACCAACCACACAAGAATAAACAGTGGGTTTCTGACACATGCCAAGATGATATTTAATTCAATACAATAATTGAAAATATTTAGGAAATCATTTCAAATAAAATATTTTATCAGAAATTCTTATATGCCTTATTGGTTACTCATCATACTTGAAAAATAAAGAACTTCAATAAAAAATTCATTATATTTTATTTTAAATAGAATTATATAAAGGTAAAAGGCCCTCCCGTTGATCGTCGATTTGCTCGAGCAGGCCCAGTAACGTCTCCATTGGAGACTTTGTTGTTACTGTTTGGCATTGATTATTTCTGATATATTTTTAAGCAATGACGATTCTTTATCTTAATACTTATTAGAGTGCAATATTATTTGAGGAAAGAAGAAATCAATTTAATACACACTTCAAACTGCATGTTAGAGCAATCAGACTCAAAAGTTGATAGCTCAGTAAAAGGACATCTATGTTGAAATAGGAAATGAAGCTGCTGAAGGTAGAGAATTTGAACTATGGGAGGGCAGTACACTTATGGCAAAAAAGGAACTGTGGAAAAAGAACTTAAAAGATGAAGTTTTGGCTTATACACTTGCCACTTATATAAGTAGGCAAAATAAAAATGTGCTAGCTCTTATGTTAATGAACACGGATGAGTTTAAGTTCTATGGTCCATACCATAAATATACACAGAAAGACCAAATGACTTACTATTGTCAAGTGTTTAATATAAAGTTTTAGAAAGATAAAGATGGTAGGTATGCATGATTGTTAAGATATGGAGATTAGCATGTTAAAAACGTAAGCTTCTAACTACTCGGCTCATTTTCCCATTTAGGATAAAGCAGGCCATTCACTGGTTTTCCTAGGTTTCCCTGTAATCCCTGCCTTATGGAACCCTCAATCTTAAGAAAACAGAAAAAAAGAGAAGAAAATAAAAAAAAAAAAAGTGAATAAGAGCCTGTGACTATATGGCTCAGAGGGTAGAGCACAGGGCTCCTGTGTTTAATGTCCTTATAGATCTTTCCTGAGCACCAATAATTTGCTGCTTATTCTTTACTGAGATTTTTTATTTATTATTTTCTTGCTGCAAATTATTTTTATGCCTATAATATTTCACTGTTGGGCAACTATAATAATTCCTCAGCATGTATTCAATCTTAAAAGTGAGGTTTCTTTTTTTTTCTTTGCTGTTTTCATTGAGGTACTGTGATTTTATTAATTATACCTTTCATGCATAAACTGCTTCAACACCACATCCATCACTTGAGTGCCCTCTTCCATCCACCAGTATCCCAAGGACCCCTCCCAACCACTTCACACACTCCCAGGTAAGTTCAGTTCTGCAAAAAAGTCAGGTTTCCTTAACAGGGACATTTGCATGTTAAGAAAATGGTAATACATCATTGCAGCTTAATTTAATGTCCTGACTATGCATAATATGGTTATTTCAAAACAGTATAGTAGTTAATATATAAAGTGCCTGAGTTGAAAATCATGCAATAAATATGAAAATCCACATAAATCTACCTAATAAAATTTTAAATAAAATATTTTCATACTGAATTTTTTTCTCCCCTATTTAATCCTCTAAGTATAAATGAAAAATGACTTTAGTTTAAACTCACCCATTATGGCAAACAGCTCAACAATGTGAAAATTAGGGAAATGGCTCTCCCTTCAACATTCTTTAGTGCCTTAGGAAATAAAGAGATAAACACATTAATAAGACACAGAGAAGCTGCAGCCACACACACAAAAATACCCATACATCAATATAAAAATGCTAATTATAAACATACAATATTAAAACTGTATATATTTTGCTGGGAAGAAGTGCTAATTTTCACTTAGATATTCAATAAGCATGAACTAAATATTAATATTATTGTATATAAAATTTAATTCAGTGAGTTTTTTTAGACTTCTATGTTAGCTTAAAACCAGAGTTTTTTTCTTTGTTTTTTTCCACATACAGCGTCGCTCAGGAGTTACTCCTAGCTCTGACCTCAGTGATCACTCCCTGTAATGCTCAAGAACCATATGGGATGCTGGTGACTGAAACTGGGTCGGTCACATATGGGGCAACCACCCTAGCTACTGTACTCTCTCTCCAGCCCTCAAACCACAGAATTTTTGAGTCAAAAATTTTAAGCAGGCAGGGCCAAGATAGCAGAACAAGGAGAACGTGGGTTTATCTCCTTCTATGATGAGAGCAAATTTGCACCAGAACTTGGATGAACCTATGCAGAAACCAACTGACACCTTGATGATCAAAGATTATACAGGAACAGAAAGAGAGTACCCAGATGAACTGGAGACAGAGTGATATCTCACCAAGAAGAAATTTCACCAAAGACTAATACTCTGCAGTCAGGAAGAGATTTCTAAGGTGTGGAAGTTAACCTTAGAGAGCAGGGTTTGGGATTAAACAGAGCACCTGGTACTTCAATTCTATGCTCACAACACTGAAATAACAGATAAGAAGCTACAGGATACCAATGGGTTAGAATCACCTGCATCTTAGAGACCTCTTAGACCCTCTCCCATGAACCACACTACAGAGTATCTCAGTCTCCATAGTAACCTACCTTGAGGGCAAATTCGATACAATGAGTTACATACTATAACAAGTCTACAATAGGCAATTCTATAGAGACAAAATATAAATGATGCCCTAACCTGGGGCATAAAAAGTAAGAAATTACAAATAGACCAGTCTCTATATAGATACTAAAATTTTCTGAAAAGCAATCATAATTATTGCACAACTCTGAATATACTGAATACTAAGTACTTAAAAAGATACATTTCATGGTATATGAATTATATCCTAAAAAGTTGGGAGGGAAAAAGAATGAAAGGAAGAAAGATCGAAGGAAGAAAGAGCTGTGACAGATTCTGAGAAAACTAGAGCTCATCTGCCCATCTAAAGAAGCAACAGTTATAAATTCAAATCAAGAGCTACCTAGAATTCAGATTCAAATTATTATTAAATGTGGTTTTCCAAATGTTTAAAATTTTACTTAAGTTTACTTGTGTTTTATTAAACCTTTTTAAAAGAAAGGGCTGGAGCGATAGCACAGCGGGTAGGGCGTTCGCCTTACACGCGGCCAATATGGCCGACCCGAGTTCAATTCCTCGCCCCTCTCGGAGAGCCCGGCAAGCTACCGAGAGTATTCGATATGCCAGACACAGTAACAACAAAGTCTCCAATGGAGACGTTACTGGGCCCGCTCGAGCAAATCGACGATCAACGGGAGGGCCTTTACCTTTTAAAAGAAAAAATAAATAAACCTTTCTTAATTGATTAAAGTTTTGTGATTTACAATACTGGTAATGACAGTTTCCCATGCATACAATTCCAGCACCACATCCCTCACCACACCCCTTCTCCAAGGACCCCAATGACTCTCCCTTCCAACACCCCTCCCACCAACTTGTGTGAATCAGTTATCCTGTTGCCTCTGGCCCTTTGTTACTACTTTGCTGTGTATCTTTCAGTTCCACATATTAGTAAGAACATTCTGTATTTCTCCCTCCCCTTCTGACTTCATTCAGCATATCCTCTAGTTTATTCCACACTGCAGCAAATTACATGCTTTTATTCTCCCTTGGAGTTGCACAGCATTCCACTGTGTATATACCAGTTTCTAGATCCATCCATACACAGTTGAGCATTTGGGTTGTTTCTGTATTATGGCTATTATTGTATTAAGTGCTGTGATAAATACAGGTGTGCATATATCATTTCAAATTAGTATTTCTGTATTGGGACAGATGCCAAGAAGTGATTATCATGGCGTTGTGTATGGGAGTTCTACTCCTAATTTTTGAAAAAATCTCCATATTTCTTTCCAGATGACATTCCCACCAACAATGTATGTTAAGGGCTCCTTTTTCACCACAAACCTGCCATCAATTGCTAATTCTGGACATTCTTGATATTACCATTCTCACTGGAATGAGATTTTTTTTTATTTCAATTTCCCTAATCATGAGTGATGATGCCTATGCTCCAGATTTTAATATGTCTTTTACCACCAAACTAGCAATTAATTCCATGGGGGGGGGGGGGGGGGGACAAAAACAGTGTACATTTTCCTTTCAGCTGTTAATTTTTTTTCAATCTTACTTTTTCTTCTCGTTTTTAAGTGATGTTCCATGATTTATCATACTTTAGTGATAGTTTCCTGCATACATTATTCCAGCACCACACCTACCACTAGAATGACCACATCTCTCTACCATGTACCAGGGACCTCTCTCTTCACCTTCCGCCCCCCCTTCATGCCAGGTAAACTCAGTTTTACAGACCAACTCTCCAGTTCTACAGTCTTTATCCATTTGTTACAGTTGCCATTCAAAACCACTGAATTATGCCATTAATTCTCTAGTAAAGGAGGATATACATTTAATTTGGAAAAATTTCAACATTTTTACAACCACTTTTTTTTAGTTATAATAACTTGAAGCCTAACGACATAATGCTTATCAAAGATATACAATGAATACAAAACATAAAAAATGTTGCTTTCATCAGCTTATCAGTATCATCTTCGGGAACAACTACTACACTACCTCAATTTAAAGGGCTTTTAAATAAAAGTGTAGAATTGTATTAAATAACAAAGAAGCAAAGATCCAGTCTAAGTACCCTATTTTATAAATGAGAAAGCTGAAGGTCAAAAAGTTAATGTAACCAAGGTACTGTACAACATTAGGTTCTGAATATTCATTTTTTTAATCACCAAGAGATAGTTATAAAGTTGTTCATGATTGGGTTTCAGTCATACATTGTTCCAATATCCACCCTTCACCAGTGTATATTTCCCACTACCAATGTCCCCAGTTTCTCTCCCGCCACTCCATCTCCCTCTCTCTCTCTCACATATATATGTATATATTACATATATGAATATATACATATATGTGCCCGCACGGCAAAGCCTGGCAAGCTAACCATGACATATTCAAAATGCCAAAAACAGTAACAAGTCTCACAATGGAGACGTTACTTGTGCCTGCTCGAGCAAATTGATGAAAAATGAGAGGACAGTGCTATGCAGTGCTATGCATATATATTTTCACCCTAAGATTGGTTGCCTTCTACTTTAAACCTCATCAACTGTGGTGTGCTACTCTTGGTACATCAGTGGTGTAAGTGTGTGCTCCAGGAATTCTAAAATTTAAAATACGGTTATACAGCAGATTTACTCATGGGTCAGGTTCATCCGAGCCTATTGAGAGTGGCCGTGAGCAGGGCAGCAATTGAATTCTGGAGGTTTTCGGTTGCTGGGGCTCTGTTGGGGTGGGGAGAGGAACCCACCCGCCCCCCTCTGGTTTGCCTGGTGGAGACAACCCGGTGCGGGGTCTTAAGGCATTTCTGCCTGGTGGAGACAACCCGGTGCGGGGTCTTAAGGCATTTCTGGAGTGTGTCATTCTATGTTACTCTCTTCCGAGGGCTTTCTGAGTCTCTGGATCATGGCCATCACTGTATCACTGTCATCCTGTTGTTCATCGAGTTACTCGAGTAGGCGCCAGTAACATCTCCATTTGTTCCAGCCCTGAGAGTTTAGCAGCCTCTCCTTACTTCATCTTTCCCAGCACTGCCATACTGGAGGCTCTTTCAGGGTCAGGGAATGAGACACATTATTGTTACTATTTTTGGCATATCGAATACACCACGAATAGCTTGCCAGGCTCTGCTGTGAATCTAATAATTAATGATTTTTATTTTTGTTTCAGTGGACTACTCCTCTCTTAACTGCTATTTTTATGCTGAAATTATTCTGTCTTGAAATTATTTTGTTTTGCCAACTTTATTTTCTCCTTGGAGGTCATTTCTGGTCTTTCTTTTATATTGTCAATTGTAAAATCATAATCTTTTTTACATATATATGTATAAATATGTCACTGTCCTCCCACTGTTTATCGATTTTCTCGAGCAGGCCCAGTAACGTCTCTATTGTGACACTTGTTACTGTCTTTGGCATATCGAATATGTCACGGGGAGCTTGCCAGGCTTTGCCATGCAGGCGAGATACTCTCAGTAGCTTGCCGGGCTCTCCGAGAGGAGCAGAGGAATCAAACTTGGGTGAGCCATGTTGACCGCATGCAAGGCAAACACCCGACCCACTGTGCTATCGCTCCAGCCCGTATAAATATGTATATATAACTTATTTCTACCTAAATATATATGCATATGTTTATGTTTTATATATACATATAATAAGTATGTATAAATATATTAGTGTATATTTACATATATATGGATATATACACAAATATATTTATATATTCCTGAAATGAGGAATAAAGGATTCAGCCTATTCTGGCACCATGGTGATGGAGATCACTTGGGCCAACACACTAGTACCTGGAGGGCATGGCAGCACTCGGGGAGCTTCTAGACCTGCAGTCAGTAATGCAAGAGACTAGATTATATGGCACCAGAGGTAGTTCATGGGCTTACAGTCATGTTATTGGAAACACAGGAGACGGGGAGAAGTAGCCCATTCCCAACTCCATGTGAACCTGGAGAATTCAGTCACAAGTCTCGCATACCTCGGTTTTTCTGCAGATTAACTCATGGGTGAGGCTCATCCCAGGTTGTGGAGAGTGGCTGTGAGCATGGCAGTGATTTGAGTTCTGGAGGTTTTCGACTGCTTGGGCTCTTTCAGGGAGGGAAGGGGAA